ACCGGCTATGGAAACAAACCACAGAGAGGCTGCGATACAACACAGGCAGAGGGAGAGAGACACCATGTGACTGTGTGTCTTTATAGAGAATATAATGTTTAATGTTCATATATAAAACAGTTTAAAGCATCGTATTGCTGCACATAAATACATACAATCTGTTGTTAACTGAACTATAAAGCACTAAAACATCCACTTTCATACAGGACAACTACATGTGACCCCGTCTTCCACTGACAGACACAACATTTACACAACATGTGGCCGATCGGGCGTCAAACTGCTGCTTTTGAACGCCGCCGTCACTCAACGTTTGGAAAAACACAAAACAATGTTTTTTGAATGCATGTTTTTTTGTTTTTGTAAGTTATTTCCGTTGCCGTCTCACCACCGTTCCCAGTTCATGTAAATGTTTTACAGCTGTGAGTCGCTCCTCTTGTCCTACTGCATTATGGGACAACAGAACATCCCAAAGTACAAAATAAAAGCATCAGTCTGTTCATCATATCAAAACCTGGGACCTGTCAGCTTTAGCCTCAGTCTGTTGCATGATCAGCCGTTTACTGTCTGTCTCTCTTCGTTTTCTCTCCATCATATTAAACTGTGTTCATGCTCCGTCTCTCTCTCTCACTCTCTCTCTATCTACCACCCCATCCCCCCCCCCCCGCTCTCTCCCATCCTCCCCCTCTGTGGTTACTCCATAAAAAACAAAAACAAAAAACACCCAGAATTCCCTCTTCCTCTCCCACAATCCTCCACTAATGATGTCCGCTGGCCACAAAATGAGGCCTGACGCCAGTGGAGAGCGAGCGGAGGACGAGGAGGACGAGGAAGAGGAGGAGGAGGAGGAGTTACTGACATTCACTCTGGTCCTCGCTGTGAACTTCTTTCCTCGTCTCATCTCCTCTCGTCTCCTTGTTTTCTCTCCTAGTTTCCTCTATTTATTTCCTCTGATCTTCACCTCCTTTACCTCCTTGTTTCCTCTCCTCATCTCCTCTCCTATAGTTGTTTCCTCTCTGTCTTACTCACTTTACTCAGGCAAGAAACGCAACGCAAATATTCGCCCTTTAATCCGGTTTTACAACAACTTTTGCTGTAAAGTATGAAAGCCCATTTCTGGAGGATAAAAAGTTTCTGTTAGTCTTAATAAAGAGAAACTTTTTTAATTATAAGAATCTTTTTTCCCATCACATGGGGTCCCATAATAAATAGATCAAAATTAAATAACGATGAACACCTGTTAAAATGCTTGTTTTTTGAATGGAGTTTGGTTGATCAGAGAGTCTCTCTGCTCCTCTTCCCCAAATAAAACTGCAAAAAAACCTTCAATATGAGCACAAAGGTTTTCAACTCACGAACGGGGCAAACATTTTCTCCCGTCTCTTTGCATCCTTGCCTTGACTTTGTATGAAATCTACTCATTGGTTTTATTGGCTGAGGAAAAGCTACAGCTACAATCCTTCTCCCAGGACAGACAGATAGATGTGTGACCCAATGATATAATGATTACATAATCATTTTAGAGGTGATGTGTGGGATTTTAAGGAGTTTGTTCCAGCAGGCGACAGCAAGCTAGGGAAGTGCAATGGTTGCATTCTGTTGGCCTTCGTGGATGTCCGTGGTGTCGAGTGTGGTTGCAGAGTACCTGAAGTTCTGCACGACTGGCTCACTGTGGATAGAGATGGGGCAGTGAAAGGTTTTAGTGACATTCAGGACCAGGTGATTCTCCTATTGGATGTGTCATCTGAATATATAAGACCTGCTCTCCACCGTTGACTCCTGGAAGAGGAGCGGCCACACAATGTGAACACATTCATGGTGTCAGTCTGTGCAGCGTCACAGCTGAACAATATGTCTCTTGTTTTGCAGGAAACTTCTCTCATGGGAATCATTCAGCGTATCTGTGAGAAATTACAACATAAATTACGTACACGCAGCATATGTAAACAATATGAAGCTTATATTACGCCCGCTTCTAGAAATGAGAGTGCGAGGCGGTCAGAGGGGCGAGCAACGTCACGCTCAAACTCTGGAGTGTTTCAGGGGCTCTGAGCTCCATCCAGACTCTTTTATAAACATTTATTTTCTGTTGGATGATGAGCGGAGGAGACTGCTGCTGCTTTCCGTCCGATGCATTACTCACTTTAATTTATTTTATTACACTTCTTCTCAGAGGTCGACGACTCTTATTCAGCACCACAACCACCGTGAACACTTTATAATCAGCCGTCAGAAGGACAAACACCAGGATTGTATTTATTTATGATTTGTTACCATGAGGACTTGTGCAACACGTTCTCACTCCCAAGTCGTCAAATATGGCAGCTTAGCCCCACGCAAGTATATAACGCGAGAAGGTCCGCGTATGGAGGCCGCGGCAGCAGTGGACAGACAGCTCAAAGCAACGGTGCCGGTATGGTCAGAAATCAGTTTGTGGTTGTACAGTTTCATGAGGTTGTAATTATACTGGCAGTCACATGGTCTCCCTTTCTGGGCCCATTGACTCCAGAGGCTCAGCTTTCCAGTCAGGGTTTGGGTACCCATCAGATATCTTGAGGTCAGAGGTCAACGGATTCCTTTGAAAGCTAGCTTTTTCAAACATTTATTCATCTTGACCTTTGCTCCTCCAGGGATCATAGGCCACTGACAAATGTCCTCCACCTCACTCCATTTCTTTGGTGTCAGAAGGTGTGTTAGACGGTAAGCGTCGTAGTTCCTTCCTCAACCAGGGCATGTGATTAGATTTTCATTCATCAAAGTTTGTGTAACTCGCGGTCCCCCAAACCTGGAGGACCAGGGACTCATTCATCTGCCTTCTAACGCTTGACCTGTCCGGTTTGGTTGAACCTGCCAAACCTCAAGGTTGTCACATCAAGGTTGCAGTCCAGGAGCGGAGTTACTTGTTATGTGCTCTTTGTTAAAGGAACCAGGACGATGCTAACATCCAGGTTGGACTACAAAAGTATTTGATGAGTTGGGAGCGAGAACGTGAGGCCTGGTTCCTACTTTTGACCCAAACAAGGTCACTTTGGCTTGTAATATAAGATCTAATGGGTTGTTCTGCTGCAGAATAAACAGGACTATCTTGGTTTCTACTACTTCCTACCGTAGAACCAAGCAGGGATGTGAAACAGGACTAGATTGGGCCATATTGGTTTCAGCCATACTTTTCTTTCTCCTACAGGTCCAAACAGAACTACTTCAACAACAACTACAACAGAGTTTGGATTTTACCGTAGATCCAAGAAGGGATTTCAAACAGGAAACAATGACTGTCCAGCTTATTGTTCATTGAAGTCCATAGTGGCAGTCCCAAATAAATCTGATGCATTCAGACTAATATCCTTTATTAAATGTATAAATCAACATGTTTTGACTGGGGGCTAAATTGGTAAATCAGGGCTTCTTTGGTTTCAACTTGACTTTGGTCTTGTCGTACAAACTCATGTGTTTGCGACACTTATGACCTTTTTCTCCTCTACAGGACCAATCAGAGTGGGGTTAGTTTCCACAGCAGGACTCAGACTGGTTGAATCTGGTCTCCAGCTTTTAGTTTTTCCCTGTTTGTTAATAGAGTCAATCTGATCAGTGTTTAATATCCTCATTAACCAGGGAATGAGCAGATGTTACAGATGTGATAAATCTGTAAGGGAGAAGAACATTATGAACAGACCCATGTGTCTGCAGTGGGGTCAGAGGTCAGAGAGACGGTGTTTGAACCTGGACTGTAATCCTGGTCAGGGCTCAGGCAGAAACATCCAACAGGTCAAAAGTTCTTCCAGAAAAAAGCTGGTTTGTTGTTGTTGAAAGTAAATCTGAGGATACTGATGCCCCCGGTGCTACGTGCTAGCGCTACGAGCTAATGCTATGATCCATATTAGAAGTTGTGTTAAACATTTATGTAAATTAGCTGCTTACTGAGCTAGCATTTTGCTAACATTACCTTTTTAGATGTAACTAGCTAGCTAATGATTGACATAGATTAGCTAGCTTGTTACCTAGCTACAGAGCAAAATCCTAGCTCAGTATCTGTGACGTACAGCACGAGACCGATGGGATAAGAACACTTAAACATCAGTTTTGCCTTCATGGGAACCTGAATGGTAAATATGTGTTTCTGAGAGTTTGTATTGTTGGTGTAATGTGCATTAATCTGTCTGTCCTGGCTCGGAGGGATTGATTGATGGAGAATTAAGATCTGAACTCGTGGAAACTGGCTGTGTCTGTGTGAGTGAGTGAGTGGCTGCAGTGTTTGGCAGGATGAAGGGATGACGATGAGGATGGATTGTGGGAACGAAGGAGGGAGAGTTTTCTGCCAGCTGTTACAGTCTGCAGTCAGTTTGGTGTCCCACTAACCTTTCAGACTGTTCTCGCTGCGTCTGAGCTGCACAGTGACTACAATAGGATTATTATAGTGCTCCATGTTTTCCAGCAAACTGGCAGAGAGACTTTGACTGAAACTGAGAGAGAAATACGACCTGTTTATGCTGTTTTCTATCTGTGGCTCCAAGCTGGAGGCCCAACGTAAAGCCTGTCGACAGCACTGTAATTTAACATCAGATTGATGGGTAAACCTTTATTTTACAGTGCGCTCACTGGTAATAACTAGGAAATACTTAACAGTAATACGGCTTTTTAATGTTTAATCAAAGATTAAAGCAGTTTACCAATGCTTATACACTGATAAACAGACCTCGATAATTATACAAAATATCTGTCAATTAACAAACAAATCCATTAAAATTACACAACAAATACTTTTTTACTGTTAATGTCACACATTTCACACAATTTAGAAATGAATTAACAGTATTAAACTTGAATTTAACAGTTTAATCTATTAAATAAACAGTAAATATCTGCGATTATTTATAAATTATAGATTTGCAAACATATTTTAACTGCGTTTCTATGATGTTTGATGTCTTTAGCCACATAGTGTCTTCATACTTTTGGCCATGTAGTGTCTGTCTTACCTACCTGTCTGTCTCTCTCCTCAGTGACCTCCTGGAGGATTTAGAGAGGAGTCCTCACGCTGCAGCCATCGCCGAGTGCTTCGTAGAGAGGGTGAGTAGTGTGTGAGTGCGGGGGGGAGGACTACAGGGGGACATTTTGGGAGGGTGGAACAATCGCAAAATGTCAGATTTCTTTCTTTCTAGAAAATTTAGATGCAATTTGAAACGTTTTTTGGGGTTTTTTTGCAATAAACTTGCAGGAGAAAGTGAAATAATCTATTAAACACTGAAGCCAACTGGTTTCACTGAGACAGGGATCGGTTGAACTTCCTGGAGGGAGTGCAATGTGCTTCTTCTGCCATGCATTTCTATATTTAGATTATGTGTAAACTTACTATTGATGTAGGACTTCATCACTAATTCACATTAAAAAGGATAAAGATATTCTTACCATCACCACGGAAGTGGGACGAACCCAATATCATTAACGTCAGATCAGAAAATATCAGAAAACAGTAGAAAAGTGTGTGTGTGTGTGTGTGTGTGTGTGTGTGTGTGTGTGTGTGTGTGTGTAGACAGGAAGCAGTGAACCCAAACACCCAGTAAACCAGCAGCAGCAGAACTGGACCCTCCATTCACTGCAGTTATTCCTCTGACTGACCAGCTACTGATGATCAAACCGACACCCACTGAATACAGTGTGTGTGTGTGTGTGTTTGTGTGTGTGTGTGTGTGTGTGTGTGTGTGTGTGTGTGTGTGTGTGTGTGTGTATGGGACAGTACTGACATTGTCTTCACATGTTACAGCGGTCCGACTGTATGAAAATGTTTTCTGACCTCAGGGTCGTGATCAGATCTCCGTCACATTAACAGATGACGTAACGTTGTGTTAAAGTATTATATCTGGAAACAGCTCGTTTTATTGACGTACAGAAGCTTATTTTAGGCTACAATCAGTGCTGTGTCACACTGTGTTAGCTTATCCTGTTTAAAGGCTAATTGATCGTTAGAAAACAGCTGAAAACTGTTAATTATTGTTGATTAAATAAGTGATACAATTACTTAATTGCATTCGTGGTTGATTTATCATCATGAAAGGACCAGAAAAAAACAACGTACATGCAGCAGAAAATGCAGATTTCATATAAAAGTTTGTGCTCTGTACAACAGCAGAGGTCAAGTACATCAGTTTTAAAGTTTGAGAAACAGACTTCTTTAAGTGGTGCCCAGCAAAATCATTATTTCTAACCTCATCAATGTCTCTATTGTTGACTAGCTGATCTGACCTGTTAGTGACATTCTGATCTTCTCCACCCGCCATCAGATCGAAATCGAACATGTAGATTGATTTTAAATGTGCTTTAAATCTAAATTATCTTCGCAAATACATTTAAATTTAAATATTTCTGTGCTGTATTTTAGTTACAAAAACTTTTTCGTGTCAAGAAACCTGACAATAGATGCACATTTGACATCCGAGCCCCGATTTGAGAGGATTTTGTCTTAAGGAATGCCCTTAATTTGTAGGTTTGAAGATAATTAAGTCTCATAGTTGATCAATAATCAAACTGATCACAATAAATTACAGTCAGACTTCTCTTCTTGTTCCAACTACCAGAAAATGTGATCAAATTTGAGATTTCCGAGGTTCCCTGAAGGTCACATCGGATCAATCTGAACTGTTTTTGTCTTCTTCAGGAGGTTTTGATGTTTGTTCGGACTTCCTGTTTCAGAGCGGTGGACATTAGATTAAACTGTTAGAGTTATTTTGGGACCTTGTGTGAGTGTCTAACACAGTGGCGTCTTTCTCTGCGACCGCCTGACTGACAGGAAGTGACAGTGAAATAGGATTAAAAGGCGGCAGGCGGGTGGGGAAGCACAGCCGCGATTCCACCTGCACACAGACTGCAGATAGAAACCTCAGTCTGGTACAAATGATCCATTAAACAGCTGCAAACACTGTGAAAAGATTGTGGTTGATATCAGGATTAACGTCATATCCTTTGTCGGGTAAATTATCTGGATGAAGTTTTGGTCGTAGAGACTTCGGAGGTGTCAGAGGAGGTGGAGAAGATGGGGCTAATCCATCTATGAGCTGGTTTTATGACCAAAAAATGATCAACAAACACGTAGAAGTTGTATTTTATGACACTAAACTTGCTGAACCTCAACACGTCAGTTCATATCAAAACTTCTGTTGTCATGAAAACTTGCTTTATTGCTGGAAACATCATCGAATGATGTCAGATTGGGTTTGATTTTTAGGGCCAAGAATTGTTCAAATCGACTGGATTCAGAAGATTTTGACTATAACAACTGCTGCATGCTCCTTCAAACCTCTCTAAAAACACGTATCACCTACGACAGAAATAGTCTACAGTCAAAAGAAAAGGAAGTGTTGATCCATCCAGCAAGATCAGTAGGGACCAGCTCCACCTCGGCGGGTGCTGCTGCCCCAAGAGGAGAGGAAGAGCCACGAATAGGAGCCTTAACAGCTTGAAGGGATTCTGACTAATCTCCGGTTTTTGGACGAAATTGGACTCAAATATCAGGAAATCAGAGATTGTTGTGCCCACATCATTTACAGAGACCTTCTCCATCAACATCCCGGATCAGCACTCAATAGGCGGACTGCAAGTCCAGGACGAGAGGAGGCGGACTCTGTTTACAGCATTGATGTTTGGTGCTCAAACGCAGTCAGACTGTATGGACACTGTTTGTTTTTATGTGCAGATGAAACCAGATTATTATCACCGTCTTGTTGCTGCTGTTTACATTCAACCAGACGCAGATTAAAAAGATAACGTGCAGAACTATTTCCTGTATATATGGATATAAATAACTGTATATATTAGTTTATTTTAGTTTATCGTCGTTGTTCTATGAGTTTAATGATTTTTTCTGTGTGTAGCATGAAGAAACTTTGCCTTTTACCTTGTGTTGTCCAATAATAAATACATTTCCTTGATGTCTGTCACTTATTGTACATTTTCAACATACATTTTATCACATTTTGCCATATAAATCACTTTATTGAGCAATCAATCTTTATCAGAGCGAACAGAACAATAGACAGGCAGGTACAAGGTATGTATACCTGTGTTCACCCTGCTGGCAGAAGCTCCACCTCATGGGAAATTTAGTTTCTAAGTACTGAATGAGAACTGTGAGACATTCAAATAGAAGAAATACAGAACTCATTGAATATCAGTGATTTTTATGAGTTTGTTCAGACTGAAAACATTCAGAAGAATATCACTGTTTCTCTTCCTCTCTAACTTTAACTCTGTTCTGTCTTTCAGAGTGAAGCCTTCGACATTTACACACTCTACTGCATGAACTACCCCAAGTAAGTATCCAGTTAAACTAACTACCCACTGGGACCGGCTGTGTGTTACAGCACTGGTTCCCAACCCCCACTAGGGGTCGCCAAATCTTCACAGGGGTTCTTGAGGCCTTCTTGATGTTAAGGGGCGTAAGAAAGCTTTAAAAATATAGCTATTTTTGTGATGAAAACTAAATGTAATCATATTTTTTTAAGGTTTAGATACACAGGTTGTATTCACAGAGCCTTCACTGTCTGAAACTGTCCGACAGCCTCGTCCTGCTAATAGATTATAGCTAACAGCTAATAGCTAATAGGTAATGGCTAACAGAGCAATGAGAAGAAAACACTGAAGAAAGCTGATGAAGTCCGATTGGATCACAGGAAGTAATCTGCTCAACATTCATCCAAATCTCTGGTTTCACACAAACTTCCTGCAGTTACTGAGTTCACTGTTTGGGTTGTTTATTTATTTGTTCTTGTTACGGTCGAATATAAAATTAAACATCCATAGTATATGTCACTTCTTCAGGCTTCAGTTTACTCAATGATGGAAAAAGGAAGAAGGTTGGGAACCAGTAGGTAACAAAAATTAAAAACAGACGTCAGAGGGACGGCGAGCTGCTGATAAACGGACGGTGAGTTCAGCCCGACGGCGAGCGGAGATGTGTGAAGCGTCTGTTTTATGAGGAGAGTAAACGTGTTTTAGTAGAAACATTAAGTGAAGGAGAAGGAGAGAGAGGAGACACACACACACACACACACACACACACACACACACACACACTCAAACTGTCGGACAGATGTTTGGCTTCAGTGTGTGTGTGTGTGTGTGTGTGAGAGCATCTTACTAAATGTTGGTTTTGATTCTGACACAAAGTCGTGAATTTCCACAACTCGATGATTTTTGATTCTCGAGTGAAACAAACTGAAAACAGTCGCACATCAGTTTTTATTTTTCTGCACATGCTCGTTTTTCTGTTGCTGTCCCAGCTCGGTATCATCGCCACGCCTGTGCATCTCCTCTCTCCTCCAGTGAGGCGTCTTAGGGTCGAGATGCCTCGCTGAGATCAATTTCCAGGTCAGAAAGACAGAAAGAGCTTCAGTCCTGCAGAGAGAGAGGAGCTGGCAGCTGCAGCAGAAAGTCCAGTTCAGTCAGAAACCTGTGTTTAAGCAAGTGACCGCACACTCAGCGACTGGCAATGAGCAGCGCCGCCATCAACCCGCCATCAAACCCGCCATCAACCAGCTCTTATAAAGTACCAGAGCTTTAAAACTCTCAGTACAGCAGCAGTCTGTTTCTCTCTCACTTCACCCTCTTTGTTTCTCTCTGTAGAATTTGCTAATCTCACTCCATCTCCTCATCAATCTGACAGACAGATGTTTGGCCTGGAGTGTGTGTGTGTGTGCCTACATCTTTCTGCATGTTAATACACCTAAATCACTGCAAATGTACACAGCTAAAGCTTCATCGCCATCCATACGTGTGTGTGTGTGTGTGTGTTTCCTTCAGTGTACCCGGTCCGTCAGTTTCCATCGCCGACCCTTCCGTCACCTCGCTGCTCTCTGCCTGTCGCCTCCTTAAAGCTCCATTAAACTCCAATAAAAATAAGTAGGTCAAATGCTTTCAGACCACCAAACTGAAACCCTCTCTGCGTCGCTGCTTCTCCTGCTGGATCCTCTCTGGCCGCACGGCTCCAAACTCTGACTTATGCTGCGTGTTGGGTTTGACAGTTGTAGGTAGGATGTTAGTTTCCCAGAGTTTCTCACTATTAGGTAATCGATCAGCAAATCAGAAAACCAAACAACCAGTAAAATCAATGCTAATCAAAGCTACGTTTTATTCATGTCTTCAATTTACGTTTTCAGTTATGTCAGGTACGTAAAGTAAGTTTAAATAAGTTTATATATATAGCATGACCTTCTTCTAATCCTAATGAAGTAGTTTTTCCATTTCACAACCACGCAAGCTTTATTTTGAAAGTGTAACCGGACATCACATATTTATTGATACTAACGTGTCCAGAAATGGCAGTGGCGTCACATTTTGAAGCGGGGGGGCTGAGCTGCAGTGTTTGAGGAGTGAGACTGTGTTTGTCAAACAGGCCAGTGTTCATGTACATGTGTGTTAGTTTAAAGCAGATTCACAATGAGACAGTAATGTAATCACCAGAAGACAGTTGGTCTCCGTCAGACTCTGCTCCGCATTTTTCCGTTGTGATCCGCTGGGTCAGATTTGGAGGGAAATCTGCTGGATTGCAGGATTGTGAACTCCAGTGCAGCCCCGCTGGGAACACGAGCCGAGAGTCTTTGTTTGGTTTGTTATCCAGCGTCAAAAGAGAAATAACAAAATGGCTCCAGGAATGCGGCCTCGTTGCCATCTGAAATTGCCAGCAGCAGAACGAGACAAGATCTCTCTCTTTCACAAATATCATAAGACGTTGTATCAGTGTAATGTATCATGAAAGAGGCTGCCATTAAAATGACATTACCAGACGTGCGTGTACTCTCAGTAGGTAGATCCAGAGGGAGCGCTGAGGCAGATGCTGAGCTAATTTATGCTGCTTAACTCCACTTGGATGCGAGCGCTGTTTGTAATGCTGTAAATTGATGAGCTGCAGAGCCAGGGGGGCTTTGGGGGCTGGGCGGGGGTTGACGTCTTTAAAAGCCAAGTTTTAACAGAACAGGGAAATATTCCAGTAATGGTCACACTGTCTGAAAGTGAAAGTATATCTCAGAGTGCAGGTTAGTGAGTTTACATCAGAGCCTATGTGGGGAATTTTAAACATGTTGTAATGTTCACACGGTCATCTTGGGTCGAGGTAGTTGAGCTGCGATTGGCTGCTTCCCCGGATCCTGATTAACAACCTTCCTCCTTTCTGACTGCATTGCAAAAGTCTCCATCTTACCGACAGAAAAACAAAATGGAGGAAAGCCTTGAACAATGATTGTGACCAAAATATGAGGCTCGGTTTGTGGAGCGTCTCGTGATTAGTGTTATGAACATCAAGTATTTATGTGATCAGGAGCAGGAAAGCCCCCCGAAACTGAACATTTTGGAGAGAAAGAGAGAGGGAATGGTACATTATAATCATCATTATCATCACAAGAATGAATCATCAATCAATTTTATATTGTGGTAAAACATTAAAATTGTTTTCTTTCGTATAAATAAACAACAGAACTTCATATTTCTACATATCCTGACGGTTCGTGCCAACATGTTCTCACTTCCAGATTAGTTTACTGCTCAGATAGTTCAACCTTGAAATGTAACAATATATAAACTGTCAAACGTTTAAAGTAAACCTAAATGTATTAATATGAATAAATACAAAATATGTGACTAATTCACATTAAAAATAAAACCTTATACATTCCCTTTATAAGTTTTGTGGGGCAGGCAGTCCAAGCTGTTACTATAACGTCTGAGTATCCTGGAGAAACTGACACTAAAAGGTTTACACCATTAACAGTTTTTTAAGTTATGTAAAGTAAGTTTTATTCATGTACTTATGTAGATGTGAGAGTGAATGAAGCGCTCGCTTTAACTGGGATTGAGATACCTGCTACTTTCCCAGTAAGAATGAAGTCAAATCACATTTCTGTAACATTGTATTGAGCTTACATACATACATACTGTCTATACTTTATTATTGGACCAATAAGCAGTAATATTTATTAATGTAAACTTATATGTATATGATGACTGCATTTGAAGAGAGGTTTGTAGGGCAGGCCGCACTAACTGTTGCTCCTGGAGAAACTGGAAAGGTTTTCATCACCTCAAACAATCTGTGAGAAGAATTGCTCTGCCTGTCACTACTTGTTGCACCAGAGGCAGAAAAATGGGCACAAAAACGCAGCCAAGTGTGCATGAGATGTTTGAAACTGTGCAGGTTGTTGTTTTCTGACACTGTGTATGATTCATGAGTAAATGAGTTATTTCCCATCATGCAGCACGGACATTTTCAGAGTGATCATCCTGTAGCTTCCATGCAGTGTGGAAAGATGTACAGTATATATGATACTGACACACACTGGAAAAGTCATTAGGATACGTGGAAACTACTTTTTGCAAATGCAAACAAAGCTTAAAGGTAAATGGAAGGGTAAAGCCGGAGGTTAATCGTACTGTGAGTGGCTGCGCCGGCTGCTGGCTGGTGTTACGTTTCCTCTGATTGGTGGAGATGAATTGAAGCTCCTGGAAGCAGCTGTAATTATCTGCAGTCTGTGAGAATATGGAGGAAGGGATGAAAACTGGCTTCAATTTGTACCGTAATAACAGAGAGCAGCACTGTGCGTATCAGATATCGTATATGTACGTAATCGTGAGTAAATGAACAAATGAGCCTCTGCGTGTCTTTCAAACGCTGCTGGAAAACACACAGAGGTGAGTTTTATGTGCAGGAAGTCTCGTTTCTGAGGGTGATTTGATGGGAATCTTTCCAAGCACAGTTTCTAGGAAATCGTCTATGGTGTACATTTTTTATATCTGCCATATGCTTTAGATTTTTCTTGCAGAGGTCAGTATTTATCTGGGGCTGAAAGCAGTTTCCTTTAGTCTGGTTTTGTCGGAGATCACAGATTGCAGCTTCACTTCGCTGCTGTCTAACAAGCCAACTCGGATGGAAAAATTCAGATATACGACGAGCAGCCACAACCCTTTTTGTCAGCCTTGTTTCTATAAAGTTGGATCGCACTCTTCTTACTTGTAACTCCCAACAGCTCTTCGATTTCAGTCCAAACTTCGTCCTTTTTGAGGATATCCTCATAAAAAATGGTTCTGTGGATCATAAAAGATGTGCAGCTTCTCAACCTCATAAATTAGTTTCTTGTCATTTCTGGCAGAAAGCAAACTTCTCCCCTGTGCCCATGTTGACCGCTGACTAGTCTTGCGGAGCCAGAACAATCTTCACACTTCTTCATTTGAGAAGGTTTGAGGTGGAGCAAGTGTGTAAAAATGTCAAAAATAGACCCAGGGTGAGGTTTCTTTTAAACATCGTCCAGCCTGTTCATTGGAGCAGGTTAAGATGTCTTAATTCAGAGAAACTGAAACAATGTGATGTCTGATTGTTCACATTGCTTCCAGTTATGAAGACGACTGTGGACTAGGGCGGCCCCCAAATAAAGATACTCCAAATCACTAGTTGGAAACCGTCGGGGTTGCACTTTGCGAGAGACGTGACCCACTGAGTTTATAGTTTATTGTTTCCCAAGATTTTATTTTGGGGACCCACATTTGAGCATAAATAAACGTTTCTGACCATTTTTACTGCTATTCTTTCATCACGTCATATCATTTCTTGAACAGGTTTTGAAGAGAGATATACATTTAATAAATTCATCATCAGTAAAACAATACTTTACAAATGAAACAAAATAAAGGTTCCTGGTTTTTTTTCTCTTTCAGTAAAACAAAGTATTTAACGTGGATCTATCTGTCTGTTTGTGAGAGGCTCCAGTCTGGAAGCATGAGCCCTAATTTAACCATAAAACAGTTGTCATGCTGTGAGATACTGTAGATGCAGATTTGTACATTAAAATAGTTTCCTCGTTATAAAAGAAAAATGTCCTGGCTTTTCTCTCAGAGCGTATATTTGCTCTGAGTTTCTAGCAGACCGGATTGTTTTTCCCTCTACGAACATTTAAAATCTGCAGATAAACTTTGTTTTAGAGACTTCCTGCTGAACACATCAGTGATGAGTCTGCAGAAGTTATTACGGCTGCTCTGAATCCCCGGACTCCCTCCTGTGATTAACGTCTATCTGGAGGAAAAAGCGCCTCCTCTCTTCCCCCGTCGTTACCTTGACCTCCCCCCCCTTCCTGTTCAGACCCCCCCCTCCTTCCGGTCTCACCGCCAATGTCCAAGATTCTCTGGCTTCACGCTGTGATGGATGTTTGTCAGCGGACTCAACAGCTGAGGAGTCTCCTCCGTCCTCCATCACATCCCTCTTTTCCTCCTGTGTCTCCACCTTCGTCGTCCTTTCTCAGGTCCTTTGTCGATTGGCGCTGAAACCACTTTCATTGAGATGCCCTCAAATTCTTTGTCTACTTCGGTTTCTTTATGAATGCTTGTCTTCCTCGCTCCTCCTCCTCCTCTTCGATTCCTCCCTTTCTTTGTTCAAATTATGATGAATGCTGTTGAAAACTTCTGGCTCTATCCTTCTTCTTACCGACCTCCCTCCATCTTTTTGGCTCTTTCTCCGATCATTCTCCTTCTGCCTGAAACTCATAATGAATGTTTGTCGAAGCTCCAAACAGCTGTGGAGTCCTTCATCGTCCCTACATAATCTCCTCCATCTGTCTTTGTCTTCCTCCTCCATCTCCATCATTTCTCCACCTCCTCTTCCATCCCTCCTTTTTCTCCATGTCCTGACGAATGTTTGTCAGAGGACTTCAGTACTTTACGTTATCTTGTTTCTGTCTTTGCTCCCCATCTGTCCTTCTTATTAAATTTCTCTGCCTTCACGTGGTGATAAATGTTCATCAGAGACTGAACTCTCCCTCTGTTGACCGGAATCATGGTCAAAATCTCACACCAGCTCTTGTATGTACCAAGAGGCCCAGGTGTTACACTCAAACACCAAGTTCACACTGTAAGCACTTCGACGCTCAGACACCCTCATAGTCGACTTACCAGCAATGTGAACCCAGGAATGTAGAGCACCCCAAATGGCCCTCAAACAGACACTGGGCAAAGGTCGCTGTCCCTCGTTAGCACTTATAATCAGCTGGGCCCCGATGCATTGTAAACTCCCCCTGTCCTTCCAGCTCCCAGCCCGGGTCCCGACAGCTAACAGGACAGCTAACTAGCTAATATCAGCTAGTATAGTTAGCATACGGAGCAGTGCAGTGGTAAGAGACGTGTGTGTGTGTTACAAGAGAAAAGGTCCATGTTGCAACAATCCTCTGATACTTTGGTCCCGGTGACAAGGAGCAGCTCCTAAACGCAGTTTAACGTTGTTTTAGCGGCTGTCAGACTGATGGATTGTGGGTCGACTATTTGAAGGCAGTCCTGCTGTTCTTTATGATCTTGTGTCTTGGTATGGTGAGCCGAAGATAAATTTCCACCCTGGTGGGCAATTCTATTCTCTAAACTCTAGGGGCCAAAGCTTGGAGGCCCCCTGGCAGTCCGATGTACTGGGGGACCTTACTGTTGATGTCTGTAATTGCACCTGGCCTCTCTTGGGTGTTGTTAGATTGTGGTTCTGGTTCTGTTTATCCAGTTCTTCGTGAATCTTGAATCATATTTCGTGTCATAAAAGAAACAAAAATACAGAGAAACAAAATAAAAGCTTAATTTTTAACAGATTTAGGCCATAAACAGGGAACGAACAGCCATGAATCAGGAAGTGTTTCCATATTTTGAGCTTTTGTTCAAGCATTATAAACTGGGGACAACAGAACCATTATTCTCACATGATTCTCCTTCAGATGGTGTCAGCATGTTGCTTCAAGTACCTGTGAGACAAATGAACCAGGAAGATTATTGAACTGTAATAGATCAACAGGTTTATGACACTATGAGGTAGAATTTTACAACTCTCCACGAGCAATAACGTAAACCGCACAAATACTACATTCAAGTTGCAAAGAAGTAATTGATCAGGAGTGTGAGCTGGCCAAGAGGCAACGTCAGATCTTGGACAGATTTTGAAACGTCATCATTAATTATCAGTTCTTTTGTTCATAATTTGACTGATTCAACAAATCTTCCTCCCCCCCTCTCTCCCTCTCTCCCTCTCCATCTCTCTTTCTGTCTCTCCATAGTTCGGTGGCGGTACTGAGGGAATGTATGAAGAACAAAAGTCTGGTTTGTTTCTTCCAGGAGAGACAGACGACTCTGAACCATTCGTTACCTCTGGAGACATACCTGCTCAAACCGGTGCAGAGGATCCTCAAATACCACCTGTTACTACAGGTAACACCTCAAATACCACCAGACCCTATTGTACATCAAATACTACATACAGTAGTTAAAATACTACTTAGCACCACAATTAATCCCTTAATTACCACATAAAATACTACCTACTACAACAAGTAATACCTCAAATACTACATATAATATCTCAAAGACCACCTGATACTACCTCAAACACATGTGGTACTTCACGTAGCATCTGCTCCTTCAGGTTTAGTCCTCAGATGCACTCAAATACTACTAAATACTACAGGCCGTACTTCAGATACCACCTAAAGCCACAGGTGGCACCTGAACTACTACACGCAGTAGTTAAAATACCACTTAGAACCACAGGTAACCCCTGTAAATACCACATAGATTACTTCAAATACCATCTATTACTACAGGCAACCTATTAAATGTAATGCCTCACAACCCCCAACTGCTTATGGCACCACCTTCAGTACTACATAAAGTCCCTAAATAACGTCTGATACAACAGATACCACCTACAGTTGAATACGTGATCGATGGACTTCTTCAGTTCAGTGAGGACTCACTGGGTATTTATGAGCGTTTAGTTTCCAGGCAACAGGTCTGTTTACTGTCAGCACACAGAGTTATAAATACACAACAATAAAGCTCTTCCTCCTCTCAGTGAGAAACATCCAGAGGACGGCTGAGGACACGGCGCCCTCAGCGTGTCCCCTCTTTGAGTTCAAAGATGAACGGCTGCAGTGTGTGAACCACATGTGGACGTTGCTGTACATCATTGTCAGCTCACATCTGTGGGGTTTTACAAGAGTCCCCGAAACAAGGACGAGACCCTGACATCAGTGTGTCACATGAGGGTCATAAATGCTATTTGCCATTAAAGGTCATATCTAAGATTTAAAACATTAATATATCAGCAAACAGCTAATATAAAGATAACAGCTATTCTCTATATAAAGAAACAGAGTCACATGGTGTCTCTCTCCCTCTGCCTGTGTTGTATCGCAGCCTCTCTGTGGTTTGTTTCCATAGCCGGTCTGCTCCGACTTAAACTGCTGTTTTAACATCTACGTCGGTGAATTAAAGATTTATTTCCAACAAACCAGAGTTTGTGATTGTTGGAAACACTAACAGAGACGGTTTGAATAAGTTTTATTCTGTTTCTGTTCACTTTGAATTTCTGTTTTTGTCTCTGGAGTCTGGTGGAGAGTGATAGTGATATTACGGCTGTTTGTGGATAAACTAAAGGTCTATCTCTGTAGGGATCCTTTACATAATGCTGTCAGACACTGACAATAACCATCTGAGTCTGTCAGTGGCAGAAACAACTATTATTAGTGGATAAACTTTGACGGGCGCCATTTGTCCACAAGGTTTAACGAGTTGGTGACTAACAAAGACGGTTGCTTCTTGCTTCTGTATGGTAAAATTACTGGTTTTGTCAGTGGAGTCTGGTGGGCTTCATCACCCCTTTACTTTGGTCTGAGATGCTGAGTGTGACATCTAGTGGTGGTGAACCTTTAAGAATTAGAAATGCAAAATAAACGTCTAAAAACACTTTTGAAGATAGCTCAGTCCAGGTTGAACCTTTCTGCATCAACTCTGAGATATCTGTCAGGTGAGCAGTGACCTCTCAACCAGAGGACAAAAATCCACAAAGAGATTCCACAGACAAAAATATGCGTGTGACAGCAACAAGTATCTTTATGTAGACGAGGAGGGGACCCAGTATTGAGCCTTGTGGAACTCGTGCTACCAGATTGCAAAGTTAAACTCTTTGCCATGTCACTTAGGATAGAAACTAGTGTGTTTTCAACTCATTAAATGCTGGCTCATGGTCGCAGTTTAGTTAAAACTACTTGGTTAAGATTAGGAAAAGAAGTGTGTTCAAACCCAGATAATTACTTGGGGTTTTTTTTACCATACATTGACTGTTTGTCCAGTCTGAACAGATTTTTACCATCCACTGTTTAGATCTTGGTGCTTTTTAACTCTAGATTTGAACCGGATGAAGGATTTTAGTCATCGGACGTCTGGATCTTAAGTTATCAAAGAAACAAGCTGAGCTAATGTTAGCAGCAGCTTGGCTCGCAGCCCCTCCGGGACGTCCTTGGTCTGTCCAACAGCGTGGGAGAAGCAGTGATTTTTAAGGTGGAATTGCTTTATTCAGTGTGTTTAGTGGTTTTAATCAGCGGGTCTGTTTGTGTTGGAGAGGAGGAGACCTCTGTGGATCATTGGGCTCCCGGTAGAAACCTCCTGAACCATGAACACTGAAGGAATCCTAACCGGGAGAAGCTGACTGCAATGACACCAATGGTGGTGAAGACAACAACTCCCATGATCCCACGCTGCTTCACCACCTCATCGCACTTGTCATTGTTTTCCCCCTAGTGGCAGAAACTGCGTACTGTACATTCAAACACTTTAAACTCTTTGCTGGGTGGTAATCTGTTGAACACTATATATATTTATATCTCTCATAAATTCCAGCTCCCACTTGAATCATCAGTCACAACCTTTACGAACGTCTGAACGTCTGAACGCAAACATCTGAAGATACTCAGCTGACGCTCTCAACACACACACACACACACACACACACACACACACACACACACACACACACACACACACACGCAGCTTTTCCCAATAAACTTGTTGAGTTTCTTCACTGGTTCCAGTCCAAGCCCACCTCTGAGAGGAGCGAGGGATGATGAAACAGACAGAAACGCACACACTGTTAGAGTCTGCTCTTTGTTCTGTGATGTTTGGTCTGTATTATTGTGTGTTGTTGCTGAACTGTCTACAGTGGCCAGTTTAAACACTGGTCAAACATGTGTTTTGAGCTGCGCTGGGATTTTCCCATAATCCTCAGCTGGTCCCGGTTCAGTCGGGTTCTGTGATGAACTGCTGTGTAAGCCAGTGAGCTAGTTGGATTGATTTTTAATTTTGAGAACATTGTACTCTGTAAAAAAATAACACAGTAGCTAAATACATAATAATAATTGACTCGTAAAAATACAGTAATTTCCTGTAATTAAAATTGCAGCTTTAATTTGACATTCTTCTTCTTTCGTCTTTTTAATGTTTAATTAAAGACATTTACACTGTTAAACCAATGCAATGAGCTATAAATACAGGTGAACTCTGCTATAATACAAATAATCAGGCTTAAATTATAAATAAAATAAAAATATTATTTGATTTTTCTTATTTTAATCTGAATGTTAACAGTTATAGAACTGAAATAAAACTCATTATCTGTGAAATTACAGTAATTATTGCTGTTTACACTGATAAAAACTGTATTTTGACAGTTTACCAATGCTTATACACTGATAAACAACATTTATTCAACTTTTCTGTTGTGAAAACTTCCATAATTATACAAAATATCTGTCAGTTAACAAACTATGTTAACTGATATCATTATCTTCACTCTAGCTTTAAAACAAAGCCCCCTACAGGTGGTACTTCCCCTCTCGGGACCTGGTTTATGTCACATTATAAATACACACTTTTTTGTGTTTTCGTCTCTTCTCAGGAACTTTCGAAGCACTTTGACAAAAGCGACCCCGGATATGAGGTCGTTGAGGACGCCATCATCACCATGACGGCGGTCGCCTGGTACATCAACGACATGAAGAGGAAACAGGAACACGCAGTGCGACTGCAGGTACAGACTGAAGCAACCTCTCTGTTTGTATTCTCTTTCTTCTATTAGCTGAACTTTTCTGAAGCAGGACTAGGCTGTTTTTTAGAGAGTGGAGGTTCTGTAAATAAAGACTGCATTTGGACAACAGAGGAAGAAGATATATGAGGCTGTGATACACACACAATACTTGTTAGTGGATACATTAACTGCTGCTTTGAGTCTCAACATGAAAGAAGAGGAAAAATGTGTCCAGAGCTGTACTTTAAATATGTAACATGAATAATAACCAGCTGAGCAGACAGCTTCTGGGAGACTAAAAAACAAGATTTATTGTCCTGAAAGGGGCTGACTCTTCGTTCCTCGATCAAAGATGGCAGTATTGATGATTTTCAGACCATAATTTCATCTGCAGGATTTCAAACTGCCGGAGAAGTTGAGAAAAGATTCCCGTCATGTTTTAGTTTAAGAAACATTTTCTGCACAGCGTTCCCGCCTCCGGAGCGGCCAAGAGACCTGTGCTTCCTCTCCGGGCCTGTAAGGGAGACAGACGGACAGCTGGAGGTCGGCTGTCGACCTTTAGGTGTCAAACTCTACAACTGCTGCATTCCTCAGCACGTGTTCACATCATTACATGCACAGTAACATGTTATTAACTTGTTCCATCACACGTGGACATGTTCAGCGCTGTGTGTGTGTGTGTATGTGTGTTGGTTTCTTCTCTTCTCCAGCTGAGCTTTAACACCCGTCCTGTCAGCTCGGCTGTTTCTCTGCTTCGCTCTTTGTTCTGCAGCCTGTTTGACTGTTTTGAATTTAGTTTTTTAAGTCGCTGTTTTCTGCCGCTGGCTTTGTTCCCTTTGAGTCAGTTCATTCCAGTTAAATTCAGTTCAAACATACTTAAATTAAAAATGTTTGTGAGCAGCAGCACACGCTCAATAACCGACAATCAGCTCTAAAAAGCAGTTTCCAGACTAGTCCTAAATAGTTTTAACTGATATTGTAAGCATACTGGAGTTTAATGAAATCTTTATGATTTGATTTAAACCATTAAATCACATTCAGTGCAATCACTGCACAAGAGCTGCAGCATCTCCGACCAAAAAATATCAACCAGACTCCATTGACAAAACCAGTAATTTTACCCAGCACACTGCAAACTGGACAGAAACAAAACAAAACTCACCAAAACCGTCTTTCCAACAATCACCAAAAACAGCCAGAAAACAGACACAGCCATAATATCACTCTCCACCAGACTCCATAGACAAAAACACTCATTTTACCTTCAGATCATCATAATATCAAACTTCCTTTAAACTGCACAGAAACAAAACAAAACAAACTTACTTTTTTAATCTTTCCGACCAGCAGCAATGCTTGTTTGGTGGAAATTAATCCTTAATTCACAGAATTAGATGGGAAAATCTTTGTAAAAAGGGGCAGCAACATAAGCTAACATTAATCCTTAGGGACAAATGCGTCCACTAACAGTAGTTGTTGTTTGTTCCACTAACAGTAGTTGTTGTTTGTTCCACTAACAGTAGTTGTTTGTTCCACTAACAGTAGTTGTTGTTTGTTCCACTAACAGTAGTTGTTGTTTGTTCCACTAGCAGTAGTTGTTGTTTGTTCAACTAACAGTAGTTGTTGTTTGTTCCACTAACAGTAGTTGTTGTTTGTTCCACTAACAGTAGTTGTTGTTTGTTCCACTAACAGTAGTTGTTTGTTCCACTAACAGTAGTTGTTGTTTGTTCCACTAACAGTAGTTGTTGTTTGTTCCACTAGCAGTAGTTGTTGTTTGTTCAACTAACAGTAGTTGTTGTTTGTTCCACTAACAGTAGTTGTTGTTTGTTCCACTAACAGTAGTTGTTGTTTGTTCCACTAACAGTTGTTGTTGTTTGTTCCACTAACAGTAGTTGTTTCTGCCACTGACAGACTCAGGTTGTTATTGTCAGTGTCTGACAGCATTATGGAAAGGATCCCTACAGAGATAGACCTTTAGTTTAACCACAAACAGCCGTAATATCACTATCACTCTCCACCAGACTCCAGCTAAGCTTTAGTGCAGTTTTAATACCATTGGGTCTGTGATATCCTAGCGTACGTTTCTACATCCAGCTGGTTGTGTGAGGTCGAAGGTCGTCTCTGCAGCTGGGTGACTGTCGTACAGTGGAGGAGCTGACTCACCGGCTGCAGCTGACCGACACATCTTCACAAACTTTAACCCTTCAAGGTGCAGGAAATGCACAGGTGCTGACCTCTGACCTCTCAGCAGCTGGGACCGGAGGTGAAACGTTCACAGATGGAGGAGGGTTCAGGTGGTTTAAAGAGACTGTTTTATTTTTCACAAAAACTCTTTCCTGTTTCTCCTGAACCCCTAAAATACTTCCAGTAATGTTGTGAAAGTGAAATACTCTGAAAGGAGAAAGGACGGCGATTCTTTCTGTCACCTTTGGTGACTTTTAAACTGTGTTACACAACGACAGACACTCAGAACAGACAGAAATCAGTGTTTTTTAGGGAAATTGAACACGTTAATCCAATAAACTTTTATCTACACACACAGTAAAGGATGATTCTTCAATGGTTGCAAGAACCAATCACAGAAAGGTTCTTTAGTGGCTTGTCAGTTTCCTAAAAATTCACTGATAGTCTATTATCACAATTATAAATCCGATTTAATTTACTGTGAAATTTGTTTATATCAAAGAACTTGAGCCTCTGATTGATTGGATTGATTGAGGTTCAGTTCTTTGAAGGTTCTTGCTGGTTTAGATCATTTTAAAACTTTCTTCATCACCTTGAAGATTCAGGAAACCCTCTGGATTAAATATGTGTGCCATCAAAGCTTCTCTCTAGTTAACCTCTGACCTTTCACCTCCTCTTCCTCCCTCGCAGGAAATTGAGTCCCTGCTGGTGAACTGGAGCGGGCCGGACCTCAGCGGGTTCGGTGAGCTGGTTCTGGAGGGTTCGTTCAAGGTCCACAGGGTGAAGAAGGAGAGAGCCTTCTTCCTGTTCGATAAGATGCTGCTGATCGCCAAGAAGAGGCTGGAGCAGTTTGTCTACAGCACGCACATATTCGTACGTCCTTCAACACATTTTTATTTATTTATATGGACCTTCTGATTACTAAAACCCAAACTTTATCGACCCACGATGGCCTAAATGTGACGGACCCTCGATTTATCATCATAAAAAACGATCAAATTTGAAGGAAATCAGACACAATCTTTAGCTTTGGTGCCATTAACCCTCGTTCTGAGCAGCTCTGTGACCTCTATAAGTGTTTTTCCTCATGTTTGTCTCTCTGCTGCAGTGTTGTAATCTGCTGCTGGTCGAGACGCTGAAGGATCCTCTGTGTTTCAAAGTGTCAGATCAGACGATTCCCAAACAGCAGCACACCGTCCAGGTGAGTGTTGGTAGCTCTCTGATATCACTTCATTAGTTATTATAGTGGAGTACTGATCCACTGAACCCACTCTGGGGCTGTTCAGTTGGGTTATGGGTAGGGATGAACCAATATTACTGTTTTCAGACCAAATCCAATTACTAATATTTGGGTACTTTGTTTTATTTTCATCAGATGTTTCCACACTGATTTTAACAAATTAAAACTTTGTCTCTGCCTACCTGCTCAACTAACGAGAAGTTACGCTGCCATAAAGAAGAATCGGGGTAGTTTTATTGATTAGTACATGTATATTGTAACGTATATTTACCATAAAAGTTATCTTAATGTGATTAAAGTCGGTAAGAATTTCAGACCAATGTCTCATTCTTGGTTGAAGTGAACTTCAAGAATCGGATGTCTGAGTCATCAGCTGATAAACTATAATACTAATATAATCAATCTTATGTATCGATGTTACAGCGCAGGAAGATGAACTAATGACCAATATTTCTACATGGAAAGGTCATAATTAAAGTAAGATACCGTTTACAGCAGCTCAACTCAGGGATTGTGGAGTCCCTCAGCTAATAGGAGAGATAGAAATTACAGTTGAATTAAACAAATATACAACATATTGTATTGAGAGTGCATGAAAACTACGTCTGAGTACTTCATGTACCTACCATTGTTCATATTATATGTTTAATACTTGAATCATTACTGCAGACAAAGAACCAGGAGGAGAAGAGACTGTGGGTGCACTACCTCAAGAGACTGATCGTAGAAAACCATCCTGCTTCTCTCCCACAGAAGGTAAGGAGGGAAGGAAGGAGGGAAGGAAGGAAAGATGGAGGAGGGAAGGAGGGAGGGAAGGAAGGAGGATGGAGGAGCAACAAGAGTTTATATATATATATATACTATAGTTGTTGTATTAGTACCAGCAGGGAGAACAGGATTCCTGCAGTATAGAAGTAACAGTAACTGTATTAGCAGTACTGGTAGACAATGTAATAATTGTAGTAGTGCAGCAGCTGTAGCACTTTTAAAAATGACAATATGGGTTATAGTAGCATCAGTATTAGAAGTAGTGTTAGTATCAGTTGTAGTATTAGTAGTAATACTGGTTGTAGTTGCAGTTGGACGTCAGGAGTCTTCTGTTGGTCTTTGCTGCCACCTGTTGGTTGTTCACACAAACTCTTCACTGCACTTAAAACACTTACTAGTTGGACCTGTCACCAAAATCAAAACCAATCACTAAACGAATAATAAACTGATTAATCAATACTGTTGAATATAGAAACCAAAACATACTTTAGTTTTAGAATATTTTGGAACGACCTTTTCCTTTTTTTGTTTCTCTGAATGCTTTTAACTCCTTGTCCCTTTTTATTTACGATATAAGTTTACAAAAGGAAGAAATACAAAACATTTTCTTTATGAATTTGATTATAAGCAGCAACCGAGCAACCTTCATATGTTTCCCACTGTTTATTTTATTTGTATGTTTGATGGGGACAGAACATGTTAATGAACATCCATAAAACGGTAAACATGCAGGAGTTAGCAAGAATGCTAATTTACATCTGAGGCAGGTAACAAAAACAGAACCATTACAAATTACAATATCCAGATACACATGTACATTTTTAATTCAAAATTATTATTATTTATTCTTATTTCCACATAAAAGTAAAATCTGTGAAAGATCCCGTCTTTAATCTTCTGCATACTGTCCTTATTTCTGTGCATTTATTCCTCTACAGCAGTAAAAGTACTGCTTCCTCTCAGAGATCTGTTTCAAGGTAACAATGGACTCCTTTCCCATCATGCATTAGGACGGGTCACCAGGAGGATTCAGTTTTATGACTGAGTGTTAAACAGAAACAGATGCTGACTGTCAGAAAGTTCATTTTGAAGAAGCAGCGTTCTTCTTATCTTTGTTATTTTCAGCTTCATAAAGTCAGACTGGTTCTGAAGATTCACACGTTTATCTTCTGTCTCTTATCAACCTCGAGTTTAACTGACGTAAGAATGTTTTATGCCCCGATGACTCACGAGTATCATTCTTTCCAGGCGAGGCAGGTCCTGGGAGACAACTTCTGTCAATGTAAGTCCACACACACACACACACACACACACACACACACACACTCATAGTCTAACTTATAACACTTTTGGGGACTAACATTCGTTTCCTGGAGACCCAAACTACTACAGGCCTAACCCTAACCTTAACCTCTGACCCAAAAATCTGCTCTTTCCAAATTGGGTCCTCATTTGGACAAGCCGTCCCCAGTTAGCTGGTGTTTATTCTGTGTCCCCGAACGTAGACTAAGTCAGAGTCACACACCACACACACACATATTTCTATCAGCTTTTACTGTAATATATTGTTCTTCGTGCCAGTTATCTGTGAATAAATTAACTTTAAATAGCTGTTTCTAGCTCGAGTCAGACGGGGGTTGACATCACTTTCTGTATTTCAGCTCCTCAGTTCGACCAGGACAACCTGAAGAAGTCCTCTGCTTCATCACGATTGGATGACATCCACGGCTATCACAGAGGCAGACGTCAATCAGGTCAGGGTTAGTCGTCTTTTTACTCCAGATAAAAACATCACACAGTGTCAAGTTTCCGTATCTTCCTCCTCTGAGCCGTAGAGCTCCATTGTTGTTCAAAAAGTACTAAAAACACATAATTGAAGCACACTGTTGCTTCATTAGCATGAACACAATGTAGTTTATTTATACTGCCTCAAATACTCACTAGACCACCAAATGTGGATTTATCCGCCACTGAAAATAGTCTCTTAACAAACTTATTATGTCCTCCTGTTTGTTTAATAGCACCGGCCTTATTTCTTAACCTATTTTAAAGCCAATTAGTGACTTTACCTTAAAGCAAACCTGCAGGAATGTACAATTCTCTTTATGAACGAAGTATTGGAAAAAATAACTCTTATCTTTACAGAAAATATCCATAAAAGCTTCATATAAAGGTCTGTAGGTCTCTGTAGAGTAAACAAAGTTAGAGGGTTGTTTAAGAAGCTGTGTCGTATAAAAGCTATAAAGGCAGATGAACGTAGTCGTAGAAGAAAGAAGGTTTGGTGGAAATAAATCCTTAATTCACCGACGTAGACGATAAAAATAGCAGTTTTACTGGCTATGGAAACAAACCACAGAGAGGCTGTGATACAACACAGGCAGAGGGAGTGAGACACCCTGTGACTCTGGATCTTTAAATAGAGAATAGCTGGTTGCTGATATATTAATGTTTTAAATCTAATATGTCTCTCAAGAGCCTCCAGAGCTGCTGATGTACACACCTGAGAAGTCCAGGAAGGGTTTGCCACTGCTGCTGGAGGGAAACCTGCCGTACAGACGCACCAGGAGACAGTCAGGTAGACGGAGACAGTTCATGTAAAGACTCACAGAAACAACTGAGTATGGCTACCGACAGGCAATCAGTCACCTGCTCAGGGACCACAAACCCACAGCTCAGACTTTTAATTCTTCCTTCACATGCACATGTTTATTTGCTCCTAAGAAGAAAAACTGCTTTAATCGAGTGCCAGCAGATTAAATAAAGTCTTTCTTTTCTTTTCCAGCTCCGGCTAAAGACATCGAAGCAGTGTTTCACCCCAACGGTGAGTCACACATCCACACTGAAACCTGATTTTACTTCCCTACAAAGCCAAACCAAACTCAGAATTGATTTACGACTGAAAATTAAGTTTTAAGTGACTGTTTTATGTTCAAACCTCAGTCTCGCTCGTTCTTACACAACAAAAATATGTAAAAAAATGAGCAGCAGATAGTGATAACAGTTCACATATTACTGCACTAAATGTACCGTCGCACTATATACACTGTTTATACAAAGACTGGGTGCAGGATCTGCAGTTTTGGGGTCAAATGTCAAATAATTGGTCATTATTTTTAAGCCGTGAACATTACACATTTGGCTGCTCAGTAAAAACGCCATTTGATACCATTTTCTTTAACTAGGGTTAGGCTTTGTAGAATAAATCGGCCTTAATGAGGCAACATCTCAAAGGACAGTTTCTGTTCATGAAGCAAAATGTCTTGACCACCGTTGGATGTTTCAGTGAGTTTACACAGAAGATAATTATTGCTGCTTAGAGTTAATTTCCTGCTATAGTTCCAGAAATTGTTAACCTCTGATTTATTACCAACGCTACTGTCAGGTTTGGTTTTGGCCAGCAGCTCCGACAGTCAGACCTATTAAACTGTTAAAACAACACATGTTTTAACAGGACTGTATTTTACTTGTATGGATGCCAACTGTTAAACAATATTAAACATCCATAATAACTCTGTCTTTGTCTGTCTCTCTGCTCCTGCCCTTCGTTCCCACCGGACACTCCTGCAGCTCTGAAGGTAAAACCACCTCTCAGCCCCTTCATGCTCCTCCCATATATGGCCTCACAAACTGATTATTACTAAAGTTATTATAGTATAGTTATTATATAAGTTACTTATTTATATATTTGGGGAACAGAATATTGAAAACTTTTGTCTAAAACTATAATCTATACTATATTTCCATTTTATCTTCTATTTCAACCTTATTCAGTTTAATAATTACACTTTTGTATTATTATATATAAAATGTATACATATTATTATCCCAAGCTAACAAACCAAAACAAATGTTTCATAACAAATTTTTAAAGTTAAGTTACACTATAAAACCAGATAAGTTCACTCAAAATATTGTTGAAACGGATTACACTGAAACATTTAAGTCAAGTTTATTGATCAAGTAGACTAGAATCAAGAATGTTTTTTTTACTTACAATATTTCATTTGTGCAGCTGCAAACTGTTTGGAACAACAGCTAAAAAAATAACACAAGATTTTATGTACAGTCCTGCTCACCATTATTGGCACCCATGAAGTTTAAGTACATAATGTGGAAAATCTTCTGAAAAAATGAATCAAGTGAAACATTCTGTTCTATAGAGAACTCATGTTTGAGACAAAATAGCAAATGATAAACAACAATTTAAAACAATAAACAATGGGAGGAAAAAATAGAAAAACTTAAAGCTTGCTGTGTCACTGGTATTGGCACCCTTTGCTGTAAATCAGTATGGAAACACATTGTGACTCACCTGTGGTAAATCACAAATGAGAATCACCTGTGATAAATTGTCTGTGCCCATGTGACATGAATTAGCCAATGAATGATGTTTGTTTGTTTCCGTGTTTTAAAAAGCCATCTGTTATCCCCTGTTCCTTTGTCACAATGGTGAAGACAAAGGAGCTGTCTTAGGACATCAGAAGTGCGATAATTAGCAAACACAAAACCTCCAAAGGGTATAAGGCCATCTCCAAAGACCTTGGTATCCCTGTTTCAACAGTGCGTAATGTTATTAAGAAGTTTGCCAAGCATGGAACTGTCAAGAACCTCCCTGGACGTGGGGGGAAGAGAAAAATTGATGAGAGAAGTCTTCGAACGTTGGTGCGAATGGTGGACAAAACACCACATCAAACATCCAAAGACCTGAAGGCCAACCTGGAACAGTCTGGGGTCATGGTTTCAACAAGTACCATACGCCGCACACTAAACCAAACAGGGCTTCATGGGCGAAGGCCAAGGAAGACACTATTGCTGAGGAAAAGACATAAAAAGGAACGACTAATCTTTGCCAAAGAGTACCTGGACAAACCACAATCCTCCTGGGAAAATGTTCTGTGGACAGATGAAACAAAAATAGAGCTTTTTGGCAATGCACACCAAAAGTTTCTTTACAGACGGCGCAATGAAGCCTACAAGGAAAAGAACACCCTACCAACAGTTAAGCATGGTGGAGAATCCATAATGCTGTGGGGCTGCTTTGCTGCATCTGGTACTGGAGGCCTTGACCGTATCACAGGAATCATGAAATCAGAGAATTATCAAGAGATTTTAGAGCGAAATGTCCTACCCAGTGTAAGAAAACTTGGTTTGAGTCGAAGATCAAGGGTCCTCCAGCAAGACAAAGACCCAAAGCACACATCCAAAAGCACGCAGGAATGGTTGAAAAGGAAAAAATGGACTGTTTTAAAATGGCCAGCAATGAGTCCTGATCTCAATCTGATTGAAAATCTTTGGTATGAGCTGAAATCTGCCATTGGGGAAAAGAAACCTGCAAACGTTCAAGAGCTTGAACAGTTTGCAAAGAAAGAGTGGGAGAAAATACCAGATGAAAAGTGCAAGAAGCTTATAGATGGCTACAAGAAACGTTTGGAGGCTGTCATCACTGCCAACGGGTGTGCAACCAAATATTAAAGAGGGGTGCCATTATTCCTGCACATGCTGTTTTTCTGTTTCTTCTTTGAAATTATAATATGTAAGTTGAAAAAACAATTTTCTTTGTTAAATTACTTTGGACCTCCAATTAAAAGATCCTGATATAAATTTGGTACATTTCTATTTATTTCTGAAGATATTGTAGAGGTTATGCAAAAAATGAAGGGGTGCCAATAATGGTGAGCAGGACTGTAAATTAAAGCTAAAAACTGTACTGTAAATTCTCGTATTTTCAGTTATTTTACTGTATTTTCTGGTGTCCCAATAACACAAATACTCTGTTTATGATACTGATTATTGTCTTTAATCAATAAATGAGACTGGACTGAGGAAGGAACCCGCGTTGGTAGTCAGTCAGTTAAATTAATTGTCGGATTCAGACGATGAGCTGACACAAACATGAGCCAGTGAGGTGTAACGTGTCCTCATTGACTGTGTGTCCGATGTTGTTCCTGCAGCAGGCCGGCAGCGAGGGCGAGCTGTGCCAGGCCGGCAGTCTGGGCTCCGCGGGCAGCAGCAGCACCCTCGCATCCTCCGTCATCGAGGTGGAGGCAGAGAGACCCGAACTGGGCCTGACGCCACAGCTGCGACCAAGCCGAGAGGAAGAGGTACGAGACGGGCATATACATACATTTGTTTCAATCTGAAGGTAGGAGTATATTAGAAAGATGTTACAAAAAAGACTCTTCCATTCTGTTTGAACGAGGAGGAAGAGGAAGAGGAGGAGTTGATCCCCTTAAGCCCTCCTCCCACGCTGTCCATCACAGAAGAGATCCTGGAGTTCATCAACCAGAGCAGAGCCAGAGAGGGACTCAGCGCCATCCACACTGACACAATGGTGAGAATAAACCAGACTCTATGAGACATAAAACACTCTGATTGTGGATTACAGCGACGGTTTGAGCCCAAAATAAACAGATGTTTCATCAAAATGATGCTGAAATAACAACATTGTTGTTAAAATGCTCGTTGTCTGACTGGAGTTTGGTTGATCAGGGCTGGAACAGCTGGAATCAATAACAGACACATATTTTCCGACTTCCTCTCTTCCTCTTCTGTAGAAATATGAAGTAATATCATAGACGGGTTGGTAGGGGAGAGTGAACATAAATCCACTTTTTTAATCCCAAAGGTTTGAAAAATAAACTCTGTTAACATCTCCAGATCAGAGCAGAATCCCAATTTTTCACTCAGAGTTCAATATTTTCATTTATATACTTGCAGTTCTACTTAAGCCCTGCTAGAACGAAGGTTCAGCTTGTTTAAGAAAGACACTGTGGGGGCCGGACTGTCAAAAAAAATCTTAGTAATAATAATTTATGCCTAATTATCCTATTATCATTTAGTATTTTTTGACTGAAGGACATATTTTATAGATATTTTATATTATATTCAATGTATTTCCTGTGAATATTGCGTGAGAGATGAGTTTTACTGATATTTTTAAGAACTTTTTATACAATTCTCTGTCTGTATTATGTATTTGTTAAATATTTAACATCATAATGGAATGAGTGGTTTATATATTGACAGATTCAGTGTTTTCTTGAGGCTTGGCTGTTGTTCATTCAGCTCTTTGGTTGTTTTTCTAATGCAGGACGAGGCTGTTAATCAGATACAGTGTTCAGCTCTTCAGTGTTTACATCTTAATAAATAACCTGAACTTTAAAAATGTTGTTTAGTTTTCTTCATAGAAAGGAGTGAAACACTGAGATATCGGCCTACTGTGTATATATATATATATATAAGTTTTCTTACAAGCCTTAAACTCAAGAAAGCCTTGTTTAATAATGCAGTCCTGATGAAATATTAATGCACTTTAACCAGTTTTGACACAGTTATGCAGCTGCAGTTATAAGTAGTGGTAATAAATGTAGTTTAATACTGCAGCTCCCAGAATACTCGGTGCAGAAAGACAAACTATCGGCTTCTTAATGAAGACGTTGAACAATAGAATAGAATATACTTCAATGTCTCTGTAGGGAAACATGTTTTGGACTCGGCCCTGCAGTTCCACAGAAGATAACATACCTTAGAGACTATTACTGCTATCAATCAAAAAGACAAACTCAATATTTCAGCTTCTTGGAGACTGTATGCACATACAGCGACATCTTGCACAAACCTCATGGTAGCAGGCTGTTATCACATCTGCTGTTGCAGTCTAGAGCAGAAACTGTCAACAACATCGGCCTCAGATCGCCCACTGACTTAGGATCAAACACCATCTCCTCTTTTTCACATTCAGGACAAGATAGCTTGTGTGGCACTGCTGCACAGATCTCAAACAATCAATCAATCAATAATTTAAACAGAGGGTTGATAGGCTAAAAGCAAATCTGATAAATAAGTAACCATTAAGAGCTTTATAAACCAATAAATGGATTCTGAAGCACACAGGTAGCCAGTGCAGAGACTTTAAGATCGGTGTAACGTGTGCTCTCTTTCTGGACCTCGTCAATACACGTGCAGCTGAGTTTTGAAGTGATTGTGATTGAGTTATATTCTTCAGAAAGCAGAGCATTACAGTAATCAGTCCTGTAGGGGATGAAGGTGTGTCTCTGTGGAGAAACAGTTTTGTGTAAAAGGATATGACAGAGAATGTATATCTTGGCTGACACGAAGGATTCTGACTCTTTTAGCACGTCTGTTGCACAGTTCTGATGAGATTTACCCCTGACTTTATTCATTATTGATAATAGTTTTTCCGTCTGAGGTTGAGAGAAACATTTTGAAACAGATTTATGATTCCCAGGTACTTGTAAGACACAACAATCTTAACATCTGGTCTATTTCTGTATAATAGTGTTGGCGCCGAAATCAGTCTTTAGTTTTTACCACATTCAGTTCTAAAAAGGCTCAAAAGTAGTATAAAAATGACTGTTGTCTTGTTTTGTAGACACATTTTTCATGAACTCCAGCATCAAGCTCACAGTCAAACAGGTTGCATTTCCTTTGATGGTAATATTTCATAAGTAAGAAATGTTCTGTTTGCATCTGCAGTAATTTAATAGACACTCAGTTTGTTATATTTTCATCAGAGGTTGTTCTGTGAGCCGGACGGGAAGCTTTGGTGGGTCCTTGACTCGCCAGTGGAAGACTGCCCTGCCCTAGAGTCTGTCATGTACTTTAAACACCAAATTTTTATACAAATAGAACAATCATGTTATTCTCATACTCTCATCAGTCATGGGACTAAAACATGTAGTGAATGGGCTCAGCAAATTTAATGGAAATCGTCCTGTTTGGTGATATATCCTGATATGTATGCCTGATGATAGCACTTGTGTTACCGTCAGTGGGACACCAAAACCATCAGGACTCATCATCTTAGGACCAAAAATTAATTGTTTGCCATTAATTGTCAAGATGGATGTTTTCCAAAAGGTCTCTTAATGCTACATATAAATATACTATTATTCATACCAGAGTTCATAGTAGAATAATTGTCCTACCTTTCTTTTCAGGAGCAGGTCATGGATCAGCCCAGAGAGAGTCAGCCTCCATCTAACCAGGACAACTTCACCTGCCCACTGCCCCCAGTCGCCTGCCCCTCCAGCCCAGAGCAAAGACCCACAATGCAACAGGAGCAGGAAAGAGCAGAGATGGAGAACGACAGCATCATCCAAAGTCAGACCGCTGACTCTGGAGAGGAAAATGGACTTGAAGGTGAAGTCAAAGAAATTCCAGATGCAACAAGTCAAGTGGAAAAGGGTGTGGAGGTAGATGAAGAGACCCAAGGAGATGTCGTAGAAAAAGAGAAAGCTGAGAAGAAGCCAAGAGATGAAGAAGAGAGAGAGAGCATTATCCCTGCCCCAATATCAGATCTTCATCCATCCATCTCAGCAGAGGAAGGAAGAGAGAACAGCAGTAGTTGTCACAGGGAAGAGGTGAACACTGAGGCCACCACCTCCTCCCTAAATCCTGATTCCCTTCATCCCATTAAGAAACGCCAGCCACCCACAAGAGGCTCTCACCTCACCAAACGTGACAAGAAGATCATCGAAAAGATCAGGAGTTATTATGAGGCGGCAGCCGAGGCCGAAGAGGACGAGGTGATGGAGGAAGATGAACAGGGAGAAGGAGCCGCATTAAGAAGGAGAAACAGTTTCTCACAAATCCCATCTGGCTTGGTGAAGGATTCGGTATCACGCTTCGATGTGGGCGGACAGCCTGGGGAGCCAGAGAGCGGTCGTCCTAAGTATGAAACAACTGATAGAGAGACTGATCAAGAGACAGAACCCCATTCCCCCACTAGTCCAATCTGTCCCCCAACACCACTCATAGAAAATGCAGAGAGTGAAGGACAGCCAGATAAACAAATCAGCTCTTTGGATTCTGATGCAGAGGGCTCAAGCAAGTCACCAATCTCTACCGTTATGCTAGATAAGGAGACCCCAAACCAAATGGATCTGAATCTGCAGTCGAACTCCAGCAGGCCCGTTGGAGAAGAGGCTGAGATACAGGACAAACATGGAAAGGTCTGCAAAGGACCACTGGAAGAAGGGCTGGAGGAAAAGCAGGAGCAGGAGGAAAGTGTTGTGTCTACTGGGCAGCAAGAAGAGGGAGCATCTATTACCAAACAGTACAAGTGTAGCAATGAAGCGACCAAAACCAGTGCTGGAAACCAAGCTGCTATGAATGGGCATGAAGCTAACCAAGCAGGTGTAGCTGAGCCAAATGGAACTCACAAAGAACCCTCTACACCTCTGCCACCTAAAGAACAATGTCAGACCAAAACCTCTTGGACTAGAACCAAACACAGAGACCTTGGTAAGACCAGTGTGAATCTTGACAGTTTTCCCAGTCAGATAAAAGTGGGTCGGTGGTCCCATCACTCCAGAATTGTCTCAGCAAACCGCGAATTGTTCGAGGGAATGGGATCAGACGTAGCCGGTATCGGGTTTTTTGAGGCCAGCCCTGTGGTGGACCCCTTGCTGATGGAAAACTCAGAGCGTATTCTGAGTAAGGTCCAAACATTGGCCCAGATGTACAGTGCCAAAGCCAGCACCATGAAGGTCCCACTGCATCAGAAGAGGGCCAGCACTGTACGGAACCCATCATGGGGTTCAGGTAGACTGTCGGGATACTCAAATCACGCCCAAACTAAAAGTCAAGTTCAACCTCAGACCCAAACTGAGTCCCGAGAGCAAACAGAATTGAAGAACAACCAACACACAGAGACCAAAGTTCAGAACCAAACCGTAACACAGACCAAGCAGCTATCACAGTCCCAAACTAAAACCCAGACGTGCAGTCAGGAAACGACACATTACCAAATCCAGAACCAGACCCTAACCTTGAGCCAGGAGGATCAAAAGATCCAGAAGGAGATGATAATAAAGAGAGCAGAGAGTCTGACAAATGGTATGTTTATAAAACTTCTTTAATGAGTTGGGGTTTTATAGAGATTTTATCTGGGGCTCGGCATAATTATTGGACCTTTAAGCCTTTCTGATATAATAACAGCTTATTACTTTGTGGTTAGCTATAATCCATTACTGAGGTATAATTTATTCTCTGTTATAGATTTCCAGGAGCCAGTGGCAGCACTCTGTGAGCCTCTGCTGTTTGGTCACATGTTTGTCAAAGAGCAACTGACTCCAGCCTGTCAGCACCAGACAAATGGATTCACCCTCTCCAGACCCAGGGACTTCATCACAGCCTTGACCAAAGAAAGAGACCCCAGTGGGGAAAATCCATCATCCAGTCAGGCCCAAGCTAATAGCTCCAACTCCGGGTACCCCTCTGCTGCCTCATCCTGGACTTCTACAGCTTCCATGACCTCAGACTGTAGAGTCACTGAGGTCAAGGACTACAGCTCTACGTCATCTACAGGGAGAGATGAAGCCTTGAACCAAAACAGAAAACTTTATTCAGATTCTGAAGAGAAGGAGAAAAGAGAGGGGTGAGTGGATAATGTTTACAGGAATTGGCAGTATATGACAAACAAGAAAGTAAAGGAAGGAATAAAAATGTATGATGTTATGGGAGTTAAGATAATAAATCAGTCACCTTGCAGGATTTGTGGCCTTTTTAGGGAAATATTGCAGCCTAAACTGCTGATTTTCAACATTTTGAAAAGCTGCTATAAAATCATGTTTTTTTTTTGGATATAGTTCATTAAAAATTGAAGACAACTTGTTCCAGTGAAATCTGGAATAACAACAAGAAAGCATGCTTCCTCTCTACGTTACTGTATATGTATATTTAATCTGAACTCACCTTCATTGTTGAAGCGCAACGGCTTGGATGGAACAGCCTCAGTCATGGTGTTAGTAGGAAAGAAATCGATGACTTTAATTTGTTTTTCCACATCATTGCAATAGTTTACAGCAACTTTATTGCAGAACATCAGGGAATTGTCTTGCTTTATCTTTAGCAGTAATTTTTGCTGATAAATATGAGATGTTGCACATGTTTACATGGTCTTCATCTGCAAAACTAGAAACAAGAAAGTGAGTTCAGTAATTTTCCAGCAGAAATCTAACCCATTGCTTCTTTCTGTCTGGTCTTGTATTCTAAAGGTTTGTTTTATTCTCCTCCTGGTTCTCTGCAGGTCGGAGCTGTGTGGTGGAGATTCATTTTATGCCGTTAGGGAAGATTCAACATCTGTAAACATCATTACCCAGCCAGCACACTCTGAGCCCAATCTGTTTGCTCACAGCATACCACAGTGGGAGATTTCCAAAGATGGAGATGAGCACGATAAATATAAGCAGGATATACCAGCTGCACAAAATATACAAGATAAAGTTGTATCAGAATACAAAATTTCCACAGGACATACCGACAAGAAAGACACGTTAACCAAAAATGTGCAGAGTGTTCATGCAGGGACTGAATACTTGGTTTGCCCAGGACCTATGGATGGAGGGGCAACCCCAGGGGAGCTGGTACTGATGGTAGCATCTACACAGAGCCAGGCTCCAACAGAGTCCCACAGATCTGCAATGCCTCACCCAGGACTGGTTGGAGAGCAGGTCCATGAGGGAACACTTTACATGGTGGACGGAGTCGCCACAGATTCTGGAAGGAAAGATGAACCCCCAAACAAGCAGACAAAACTAAATGAGACAAAGAATGATTTGAATTACTCTTCATCACAACCCAGGATGATTCTACAAGGATCAGCAGTAATCTTTACAGGAGACCCAGCTTGTTACAGAACCCCAGGAGAACTTGTAGTTCCACCAACCCTGAATCAGCCTTCACACATGACCTCTGATCCCTCGCAGGTTTCTAGTCATACAGTCACAGAAACCCCAGAGGATCAAAAAGCATTAGGACGGGCAGCACCGAGTCCCTGGTCATCAGCTCAAAACTCAAATCTTACCCGACCTCGCCCTCCATCGGTGCAGTCTGTAGACTGTCTACCAACATTCACCAGCCAGAGGCCGCCAGACCTACCCACTACAATGGGAAAACGGGCTCTGTCTAATACCAGGAATACTAACAACACCTCTCCATGTGAACATAGGTATGTCTGGGGCAGATTAAAAATAATAATCACTACCCACAACAGTTTTTTAACATCTGTTTAATATGAGGGGAGAGATGGTAGATCACCCTGGTAGTGGTCCTTACCTCTCTTTGGCTGCTTCTGTCTAATAAAGGCAATAAAATGTATAATCTTTAAAAAGATAGAAGAAGATAGATTTTCAACTCATTCTATATAAACCTGATCCTAAATCCTGTCGTCAGCGGAGCCTGTCCTGACCTGAAATTAACTCCAGCCCAGACATGTTTTTTGATTTGAGCAAGACACATAACATAGTATGACAATTAAAATCCAGTCAATCACTTCAGTTTGAGTTTAAAATAAACAACTGGGCCGTCCGAATGAAGCATGATCCGTTCTTTTGACCATTTGGTTCTTGTGCAAACTTTTAATTCACATTTTGTTCCCTTTTATACATCAATGTTAAATATAAAAACCTGTGACCATCTTATCAGACTGTGAGTTGATGGATTTTTGTGGAAAAGGAAAGTTTAAGCCAGGACATGTGTTGAAGAATGGGTCTAAGGGCTTTTCTGAAGTGTTGGTACATGCCAGAGAATATTACGGTACAGTGTGGAATGTCACCTTGCTTGTTATTGGCAGGAAGTTTGCATTCACACTTCCCCTCAACTGACACTGTGTGTGTGGGCTGAAAGCAAGGTTAGGGTTCTGCCAAGTTTGCGGGAAATTAGCAGATTGAAAACACAAACAGCAGCATATAAGTTAAGAGCGGCAGCTGTGGTTATGTTTATGTTTGGCCCCTTTTTCCCCCCGATCCATGTCATTATAGATGACATCTCTTATAATCACAGCCAGTTCTACATACATCAGATGTATGTTATCACAAAATGCAAATTCAAGATGTAATGGAGGCAGAAATGAAACTCAGAGGACAATGTGTTCCCTTTCCCCCTTTTGGAGCCATAACTCCATGACGTCTTAGCAGAGACAACCTCAGTTGACCCCGAAGCACATGGGTAGGAGGAGTTCCTATAAACCCCTAGGCCTCACTTTGTCACTACCTAGGACTACCTACCTACCTACCTACCTACCTACCCTATCTAGTTACTCACTGCAAAACTGAAACTGCTCGAGCTACTATTATTATTTTAATTACCAAATGAATAGCATTTTTGGAGGCCTTAACATGCTTGAAAACTCGTGAAACTTTGCACAAAATTCGGTGGTAGTGAAAATATAAGTATTCTATTGATCCCGTACATGGCGTCGCAATATGGCTTAGCCACGCCCCCCAGAATCAGCCTTGAAGACACGTACGACAGACATTTATGAAAATTGGTATACATGTGTATCATGATCAGACAACCAAAAAAGCCTTTTTGATCCAGACCCAAACCGAAGTCATCCATTTTCGATTTAGTGGTCATTTTCTCCAATTTTTTGGTGTTGTATTTGAACGAACTCCTCCAAGGGAATTGAACCCTTGTACTGTGTTTTCCAGACTCTTTATAGACAGTCTAGAGGCTCTCAGGTTTTTCTGATGGTTCCTAGACTGTATCTCTGAAAAAAGGATGTGGTAATGGCCTAGAGAATGGGTGTGGCATGAGATGTTGGAAGACAATTACTAAAAATACTAAATATGACATGCTTGACATTGTATTGTTGTGTGGGATAACAATTCTATTTCTTTATGTAATAATAAAATCAATAACATTAACAACATTAACAATGGCTGTAATGGTAGTAATGACACTGCTAATATTAATAAAGTATAGGCTAATATTATATGTAATAGCAGTAGTAGTAGTAACAGTTTTGTTAGGTATTAGTCAGAAAGGTGATCCAGCAGATGTGAAATCGATTTGATTGTTTTTTAATGCTATTTGTCTTTCTATTGCGGTGCGATCGGCTAGTAGGGTGGGTTAAATGATAGTGGTTTATTTTGGATCTGAAAGTCAGGATTGTGCCATATTGGGGTGAGTTTCGACTGTCAGAGTCGCTGCAATAAAAGGGTTTTTGAAACAGGTAAGGAAAGGGAGGTCTTTCATTGATAAATCTTGGCATTCGTATTGTGCTATATCTAGCCAGAGGAGCTGTGATTGTTGAGATTCTTGCAGCCACGTAGATATGTACTGTAGATGGTTTGCTAGGTGGAGTCTGAGATTCCCCCCTTCCCCTCGTTGAATGAACTGTTTTAAAGATTTCCTTTTTAAATCTGCACTTTCCAGGGAACCAGACGAGCAGGGATCCCCTACCAGCCTGCCCGTTTCAGGCAGTCACTCATCTTCCAGACCCTCCTTGGAGACATCCAGCCTGGTGGAGAGACCTAACCCAGCCAGTGCCATCCATGGCCAGGACATAGACCTCACCACCGCTCCCTCAGCCTTCAGACCCAGCCTCAGACACCATGCCCCTTCTCCTCTTCGAGCTTCTCCTTCCTCTTCCTCCTCCTCTGTCCAAGCACCTCCTTGTTCCTCACCATTCAGGATTGTTCCTGGATCTTCTCCCACCCCTGTATCAGCTGAAGATACCTCCCTGAACCCTGTCTCCAGGGCTCTTCCCTGTTTATCTCCTACTCCTTCCTTTGGGAAGGGTTCCTCAATGCAAGCTCCCCCTGCTTCCTCTCCTACACCCTCCTCTGCTTTTACTCCCTCTTCCTCTTCTTCTGGGAGATCTTCATCCATAAGAGCAGGTCCTCCTTCGTCCCCTACACCGTCTTCTTCTCTCCGCTCTCCTCCATGCTCTTCCCCCATTGCTTCTTCCTCTGCGTTCACCAGATCCTTAGCCGCCTCCTGTATCAGCCAGTCCATCAGTCAGAGTATTGCGAGAAAGAGCACTGCCCTGCAACAAGCCCCACCCACAAACACAGTACCCCAAAGCCCCTCTTCTCATCTACGACGGCGCTCCCCTTCACCTAAAATCCCTCCTAGTAGTCAGCAGGGCTCTGGCACACCTGCGTATTCCCAACTGGGGTGCACTAAAGATGGGTACCAACATCCAAGGTGTCCGCCATCTTCTCTCTGGTCCTCTTGCCCTTCTCCGTCTCTCATACAGTCAGCTCCTCCCACTTTTTCCCAACGCTCTCCTTCCCCATCTTTGAGTCTGGCCCATCATCAGCCTCCCCACTCTCCTTCCCCTTCCCCTCGTATCTCATTCCTTCACTCCAAAACTGACTCATCACACAATGCAAACAACAATAACAACGTTAGTTTAGCAAGTAGCTGTAGCAGTAACCGTGCCGTCAGTAATGGGGGTTGGTCAGTTAGTCCCCAGAGGGCGCCATTAGCGAACGGTAGCAGTAACGCCATAGTAATGCAACAGACCCATGATACTTTCTGGTCGGGGTCACACAACCGCGTAGCTCGGCCTTTTTCAGCTTCAGAACCCAGCTCACGAGTCCAGTCCCCATCTCCCTCTCCTACCCCTGCCTCATTTACTTGCCTCACCTCCCCACCTCCTCAACATAACTACTCCTCCCCCATGGCAAACAAACCTCCCAACCCCCGGAGCACACGGGTAGGATGTGCAAGTTCCCATAACCCGCTAGGCCTCACTTTGGAGCTACCCAGGGCCTCTTCAGCAGGTTTAGCCTTTGGGCAGTCTTCCACATGCCTGAGCCCTCGGATCCTCTCCCCGCCTCCTATTGGCGTATCAGTGAATGTTTGGACAAATAATGTTGCAGCACCTCAACCTAGAAACCCTACATACGCTTCGTGCTCTCCCTCTTCGTCGTTTTCGTCCTCATTAGGCTCACCAACACTGGAGAATGCCTCTTTCCCCACTTCCTCTTCTTCTTTGATCCCACTGCGTAGTTCCAGAGCCTCCTCCCCTTCTACCCCCTGTCCTCCTGCATCCCAAACAACCTCTCAAACCCTCCGTAGGTCTTTCTCCTCCAATCTAGCAGACAGACCCCCTAGCCCGGCCCGGAGCAACTCTAGTGGAGCACGGCGCTCATGGGCAGACAGCAGTCGCAGGTCCCTTGGTTTTAGTGGTAGTGGCCGAGGGTCCTTTGACCAGCAGGAGTCCTGTCCAACCAGTCCAAGGAGCGGATGGTCCTCATTCGGCAGCTCACCGTCCTGCCTCAGCCCTCGAGCCGGGCTTCAGTCACCACTCTCACCTAGCAGGCTTACCCCAGGGAAGGGCACCCATGGGGGGCAGCATTTCACCAGTGTGCCCTGGCCAGATGTACGAGAGCTTTCAAACAAATATAATGGAACTGATGGCCTTGATACAAGTGCTACTTCCACCATCATTGCCTCATCACCTTGTCCATCAGACAGCCAGACAGAATGGGGAGACCCAGAGCTAGAAGAGGGCAGTTGTCGTAGTCAGCTTATCTGTGCCTATGTAGCCCGGCCCTCCCGTGAACAAAACCTCACCACCTCATGTGTGGTTGTCCCTTCCTCAGGCATGATCTCCCCTACACTTGCCCCATACCAGCACCACAATTACCAATCCCAAGTAAAAGCACAGTCTCAGGTCCAAATCGCTGCCACAACACCTCCCATACCCTCAGTCCCTTCCCCCTTGCCTGCAACCTCATCGCCACTACCCTTTGCCCATTCATCTCCTACCAAACAGGGGAACCAGAAGACCAGTTATGCTACCACGGTCAACCTCCAGATAGCTGGAAGTGGCAGAATAACTTCCTTCAGCACAGCCCAAGTTAGCTTGACCCAAACCCTGCAGGGTGGAGCCGGAGCCGGAGCCGGAGGACCAGGACAGGGGCAGTTGACGAGAAGAGTAAGCATCAATGGACTGTCGCACCTTCCTTCCCCTCTTCCTCAGAACTGCAACAGACTATGAGAGAAAGTGAGAAGTCTTCCTTTTATGGCTTTACAAGACAAGAAGGGGCCATGCAGAAATGTTGACGGAAAGAGAAGAGGTATTAGAAAAGATGTGCACTTGAGAATTTGCCCCAAACACTGAGTGTACATTGAACCCCTCGAGTCCCCCATGTAGAAAATTATCTTTCTCAAATCGTTCTTCAACTTGGGAATAAGGTCACATCTGAGGGACATAATGAATGTTGTCAAGCCTACTCAACACCGATTTTAGGACACTCCTAAAGGACTATAAATTGAATCTTGGTGGCTTCTGGAAAAGCTTCATACCAAAGCATTAAACAGACGACCTTTCAAGAATGAAAATTCTACCTGCACATGGGCTCGTATTTTTCAGTCTGGACTAATGACTTTGAACGGATGCGAATGGAATTCACCCTTATATTGTAAAAAAAATAAAATAAAATAAAAATAAAGGTTAAAAATGGAAATGAGCACCCAAAAACCCTGAATGTCCACAGCTGGATGATCCGATTATACTCCTGGTCTCACAATTTAACCGGTTTGAAGTTGCTCAGTTCATTTTCTGAACTCTGGACTCTTTCTATGGATGTGATGACTTCATGGAGGAGCTTTTTTAGACACTTTTGTCAAATTCAATCTGTAACTTTTAACATTTAATGAGTACATCCATTTTTGCTAATTTGGCGGACATGTTGAAGGTCCAGCATCCAACCAGTGCTGTATGCAATCAAAGTTACTTAATGTATTATTATTTTTGTTACTATTTTGTTAAGTTTGTTTGTTGTTTGTTTCTTCTCTTTTTTTTAATATTCTGTTGAACAAACATCAGTGTCTGGCCATGTGAGGTCAGTGTTTAAGGTTGGTGATAACTGTGGTTTTTAATAATCTTTTTTTAACCATTTTATTATTCGTTTTATTTTATTGTTTATTTATGAAGTTAGTCTTATTCTCTTTGGCACTTATTATCCTTAAAGTAATGTCGGTATTTTGCACAGCGTTCTCAGCTCTTGGGTGCATGCATCAAGCATGAGTGTATTTGGGTGTGTGAGTGTCTGCTATGACGTGTCTGGTAAGTTCTCCTTGAACTTCAGACCAAACCAATATCTGTGTGTTTTTAATGCTGTGTTTGAATTGATGTACTCAGTTGGTTCATTGACTCCCTCCTGTTGTCAGTGCCCTTCAGAAACCTTGTATCTTGGGTTTTCAAAAGTTGTAACAGAAAGTCGACCGGTTGGAAAACGCTGCTTGATATTTGCATACGATGAAAGGTTTTAACTTCGTAGTAGTTTTGGCAATACACATGTGACGTATCGACTCTTTCATATGTTAACAGTTGATGATAACCCCAATGCTTAATGCTTATAGTGTTAATAAAAAAACAGCAGGTCAGTTTACATGGAATTTTTATTCTGGTTTAATGTCCCTTCACATTCACACAATGACTTGCTGATTATACACCAGATTCTGTCAAAGTATTTTAAAAAAATAACGTGTTTAAAGAGGGAAATAGTGTTTTTAAAATTTCATGTAATCTCGCAGTTTTTAAATGCAATTAAACACTTTCCTTTAAAAGAAACACAAATGTTGTTAAACTTGAGGTTGTAAAGTGTCACAAACCATTTGGAGGTCAAATATAAAAAATAAATTAAAGAGACGTGTGGTATCTGCAGGGTGCTGGTGACAAGCTGGAGAGAACATAATGTTTTTGGGAGCTGGTAAAAAGGGAAATATTAAATCTTCATCCAGTAACCTTCATAGAGTCATTGAGATGTACGGAAAATAAAGGTATGTGGTGCAAAATCAAAGTGACTCATGCTTTTTTATTTACTGTTAACTCTGTTACTCCAACTAACAATGTACTGATGCCGCTAAAAGAGCTGTAACAATAACAAAGTTTGAGGAATATCTGTAAAATAACAGAAAATAACTGACTCATAAATTACAGTAATTTTCTATAATTAAAATGCAGTTTTTAGCTTAAATTTTAAATAAAATCTTTACTTTTTAATGTTTAATTAAAGAAATTTACACTGTAAAACCAATGCAATGATCTATAAATACAGGTGAACTCTGCTATAATACAAATAATCAGGCTTACATTTACAGCAGAGTGCTGTTATTATTGGATTTTTATTATTTTAATCTGAATGTTAAAAGTTATAGAAGTGTAATAAAGTCATTATCTGTGAGATTACAGTAATTATTGCTGTTTACACTGATAACAACTGTATTTGGACAGTTTACCAATGCTTATACACTGATAAACAACATTTATTCAACTTCCATCATTATACAACATATCTGTCAGTTCACTAACTAATACATTAAAATTACACAACCAATACTTTATTTACTGTTAATGTCACTAATTATGCATTACATTTAGAAATGAATTAACAATATAAAACTTGAATTTATCAGTTTAATCCATTAAATAAACAGTAAATATCTGTGAAACAATTATTGATTTGGAAATGTATTTTAATCTTTATATGTGAAAAAAAATTCACTTTATTTTACATTAGACATGTAAATTCACAGGCTTTTTTTGTAATTTTATTATTATTTCTATGTATTTGAAAAGAAAAACCATCAAATTACAGATTTGTTTACAGTTAAAAAAAAAAAGAGTGAATCCACAAGTTGAAGCAACAAAACCTGCAGTTCCTCTAACAGCCACTAGAGGCTCAAGCAGTGAGCCAGTTGCCATAAGGCTCCATGTTAAACTGCAGAAATAGACTTGTTTACAGCCTTTTGGTCTCTGGAGATAATTTCCCTGTTCAACAACTGTATACAACTCACCCTTTAAATTATATTAAGGATTACAATTATTAATAATTTGAATAATTTTCAGTAACCAGGCTTCATTCAGCTCCATCTGTAAGCTACGTGACAGTCCCCAGGTGACTGTACCCAGGTGACAGTCCCCAGGTGAATGTCCCCAGGTGACTGTCCCCAGGTGACTGTACCCAGATGACTGTCCCCAGGTGACTGTCCCCAGGTGACTGTGCAGGACTCTGGCCCTGATAAGAGAAAGTAAAGGAGTGAGCGTGCACAGCCTTAAAGAGGGCAGGTGCTGAGCCCACACCCCCATCTTATACACATTAAACAGCCACGTGGAACAAGACTCTAACAAATTAAAGGAAGAACCAACATAAACCGACTGTTTGACCCAGAAACTTAACCCTCTATGGTACCGTGTTGCCCTCAGGCAACGCACCCATTTTTGGCCTGTCAAATCTCCACAATGCATTTTTTTGAACGATACTATAGTTGAAAAAGGAGGGAAGACCATAGGGAACCAATAACAATGCTTTTAATTTGTCACATGACTTTCAGGAAGCCATATTGAAAACCCTTTTTTGAAGACTTTTTCAAACATAGACATAGACAGCGGTATTATTATCATTATATTATTTTTATTATTACCGGTATTATTATTATTGCTATTATTATTATTGCTATTATTATCATTATATTATTATTATTATTATTATTGCTATTATTATTATTATTATTATTATTATTATTATTATTGCTATTATTATTATTGCTATTATTATCATTATATTATTATTATTATTATTATTGCTATTATTATTATTATTATTGCTATTATTATCATTATATTATTATTATTGCTATTATTATTATTGCTATTATTATCATTATATTATTATTATTATTGCTATTATTATCATTATATTATTATTATTATTGCTATTATTATTATTGCTATTATTATCATTATATTATTATTATTATTGCTATTATTATAATATTAATATATTATTATTGTTATTATTATAATTATATCACTATCATCATCATTATTATTATTATTATCGTATAGAAGTCGGCATCTTTTCATTCACAGATCTTCTGTCAGAAGCTCGTCTGCTGATAACATTAAGTAGAATTTGTATTTGGGTAGTAAAACCAGCATTTTTAAAATATCCAAGCACCCTGTATCATAGCTACATGTGTGACGTTTTAACAAATCAATACGTTTCGAAATCAGTCCAAAATTCATCGAATAATTCTACTTTGAGATTGAGGAGTTCCTCTTTCCTTCGTAGGTTGATGCACCGCTGCCTCTGCTAGCCCTGTTCCAAGATGGCGGCGCTTTAGGCACGACGCTCCACAGCCGATGCGGCGTCTGTATAAATGTCTGTTTTCAAAGGAAACAGCTTTGACATTTTGCGCCAAAAAAAGTTCTGAAAACGTCATTTCCTGGAACTTTTCCATCTGGAAAAAAGAATATTCACACTAGCAGGTGACTAACCCTTAATATCTGATAGTTTAATGCAATTTATTTGCTAATTAAATAATAGAAACTAAAAATGCAACTGTTGCCTTGAGGCAACAGTGAACCATTATGGACTCACTATGGCAGCATAAGATTTTGGTAGTGTGTGTTTAGGTATATATAATGTTCAAAAGCATCTAATCTTTACAATTTAATTTACTTTGTTGCAGTAAAGTTCAGACTATTACTATACTCTGTAGGCCATAGTGAACTTTGCCTTATTTAGCCTTATAATTTCGTCTTATTTCCTCATAATTTCAACACATTTTCCTCCATTTACAGAATGAACTCATTCTTTACCCCTTTAAGGAGGTAGAGTTAGAAATCACACTTCAAGTTGAGCATAGTGAAGTTGAATAAGAATTAATTAGTGATGAAGATGCCAGTGCCATCATCACCTGTGCGTCAGGACAACACTGACCATTGACCTATTTGGGTGGAGAAAAGGGGCAGGTGCAATACCCTGATGTAAGGGTGTAGTGGAAGTGCAGTGCACACAATGTGTCACCTAGCTGTTCTTCACTCCTGAAAAAAACTCCTTCATGGAGTTCAATAAGCACTGAGCAGCAACACCACAAATGATGGCAACGCATGTCAGGAAAGACACGGGACTGAGAGGAAACATGCATTGAAATGAAGGAGTGATGATCAAACACTGGAATCTGACACCAGTTTCTTGTTTTGCAAATGGTTATGATCTTTGTTTTGATAATTAGTTCATTTAAAGTTTGAAGAATTACGCTTAGACTCTTCGAAAGATTCATTTCAGTGGGTTGTTCCACAATGGTACAATGATACCTACAGGCAACGTTCAGACAAGAAACCCTTTAAAATAGTTCCTTTTATAATATTTTTCGATTTAAAATGACATGTACTGTAACCTGTTGAAGCTATTAACTCTTTTACACATGTTTATGAAATAAATTATGTTCAAATTGAAAAGAAACTACAGACACCATAATGGTACAAAAACACCCAAAACTTCTAAAAAAAAAAAAAAAAAATTATAAAATTTCTTTAGATTATCTTTATTTAGTCTATTTTAAGACATAAAAACGTACCACAGAGGGTTAATAAGTATCACTGGTTCCACCTGTGTTTACACTGGCTGCTTTGGAAAAAGTTATTTTGTCACTGGAGTCTGACAAAGAGCAGCTTTAAACGTCACCTTTATGTAATTAACTGGACATTGGAGGCCTGCAGTGTGCGAGCTGTTACTTTCTTCATTTCACAGACGAGCGGAGGTCAGTAGAAGCTTGCAGACAAGCAGCTGTGAGGTTCATGAGATCAGATATGTTCTGAAAGGCTGCAGCTCTGTATCAGGTTATGCTTGGCAGCTATTTAATCTTTCTGATAAGGGCAGCTCAGTTTCAGTTTTGGTTTACACCAGATACGTAGACTTTGACCCCAGTTTAAAGCTCCTTTTGTCCGCTCCATGCTGACACATGCAGCTTACTCTGCAGCCGTCTTCTCAGGAAATCTCTCCAGGTAACTACTGATCTTCATTCCTTCTGTTTAATGAGAACTCCTGCTGGTTTACAGCTCTGAGCATCTTCACAGACATATTCACTGACAGACGCCGATTCATAAGGGTGCTTTTAAGTTGAGGTTAAAGGTTTCTCAAAGGCATGATAGCAGTTAGTGGTGATACAACATGACTCATAGCCATGTTAGCAGCTCTGTCAGGCTGTACAATGCTAACAATGCTAGCTTGCTCAGATTTGCTCATTAGCATTGAATCCAAAGTACAGCTGAGGATCATTAGCTCTGCAGATCATAAACCAAAGCATATACACTACATGGAAATATTAATAAAATGTGCCTGTTTAATGTAAAATAACGTAAATCTAAAATTACTGTTCTATATTAGATATTGACACATTAAGCTGATGATTCCTTAAATAGTTTAGCTGCTGTTTGGTAAATAAAATTAGACTCTGAGGCTTCACTATCAAATATTAGTTAGTTTTAAGCTCTGAGAGTTAATTTGATTTAAACAGCATCCACCGGCCCTCGTTCTTTATCTTTCTGCCTGAACATTTTTGTTTGTAAAGAAATCAGATTTCTTTTAATAAATAACTTCAATTTATGTTCGTAACATTTGTTCTAAAGTTCATTATCTGTACTAACTGTGAACCTAGTCAACCATCGGTTTGTGTAGTCCCATTTTGAAGCCTCCAGTTTGGCGTTATGGTGGTTGTCGCCGTAGCAGTTTGTTGAAGCCAGCGGGGGTCACGTAAAGCAAGTTGAGCTGCTCTCAATGGCGGCTCGCCTGGTAACACAGGATCTGGTGTTCCAGATAAACAGTAAAATGTGTTTGTGAACAGATTTGAGGAGAGAAATAGTCAACAACAGAATCTGGATCCATATCTGATCAGCACTGTTTGACAGTTTGATCTGAGTTTGGTGCGTTGAGCTGGACGGACTAACTGAGAATGAGCTGTCAATCACAAGGTAGCCCCGCCCTAAAGCATACCCTGCTTTATGGTCTGTTTTACTCTAAATGGGACCATCAGTTACTAAATGAACATCATGCTGTATGGAAGAAGACTGAAACTAGAGACTGAGACCAGAAACTCATCAGGAAACTGTTTACTGAGCTCAGAAATAAAGAGAGACTATCAGTGTTTTATTTCCCAAGCCCAGATCATGTGGGAAGTTTACAGTTTATGATGACACACTATTGGAGACCTCCTCTTTCTCCTTCACTTCACATGAATTTCCGCCGTTCCGGTTACTCAGACCTGTAAATGTTTCTCCAGAAAATCATCATCCACATTATCCTTTGAGGGTCAACAGTTCTGAAACAGGTAAACAGGAGAATCTTCATATTCAATTTCAACATGGAGCTTTATTATTACCTCCAGGCTGCTGTAATCAATATATTTATATTAACAATAGATCAGATTATTACATTTAGGGGGGAGCTGGTAGATAATTAATAATTAACTGTAAACGGACGTTGTTACTGTCGACTGTCACTTAGATGAAAGTAACAGCAGATTAAATTGTTTATATTCTTGTTTTTATTCAAAATGTCTGATAATGTCAGAATGTATTAAAAGAAAACGTATTAAATATAAATAAATATTATCTCATAAGTTAAAATATATTTTCAAATCTATAGTTTGTTCGCAGATATTAACTGTTTATTTAATACATTAAACTGTTAAATTCAAGTTTAATACTTTTATTCATTTCTAAAATTATGTAAAATTAGTGAGATTAATAGTAAAAAAGTATTTTTTGTGTAATTTTAATGGATTTGTTTGTTAACTGACAGATATTTTGTATAATTATAAAAGTTTTCACAACAGAAACATTGAATAAATGTTGTTTATCAGTGTATAAGCATTGGTAAACTGTCCAAATACAGTTGTTATCAGTGTAAACAGCAATAATTACTGTAATCTCACAGATAATGACTTTTATTACACTTCTTTTATAACTTTTAACATTCACATTAAAATAATAACAATCCAATAATAACAGCACTCTGCTGTAAATGTAAGTCTGATTATTGTATTATAGCAGAGTTCACCTGGATTTATAGAGCACTGCATTGGTTTTACAGTGTAAATATCTTTAATTAAACATTTAAAAAAAGACCAATAAATACGATTTTATGAAAAATTAAAGTTTAATTATAGAAAATGCTATACTTTTATTTTCTGTATTTTTTTGGCGTTCCAGCTGTCGTTCAGTGTTCCGGAAACAGTAAACAAAAGTTTCCCTCAGATCTTCTCCAAATTCTTGTACCACAGTTATCCTCCATTAACCTTAATTATCTTTATTTATCCGTCCTTGTGTTGGAACTTTACGGGATGAAAACCTGAACAGAACTGTGTTACTGCACTGTGGAAGGGGAGAGCAGGCTTGTGTTAGTCATTTGGATGCAATGCAGTTGAATAAACTGCTTCTTTACTCGACTTTCCCACGCTCATGTGGTCCAATTTGCAAATATTCACCTTATCAGCATTCCAGCATTGACGCCGCGGATGCTTTAGAGTAAACTGTAGTCAGTTCAACTCCAGACAGACTGTACTTTCTCAGGATGGAAGATTTGGCAACTGAGCCTTGTTTCAAAACAAACAGCAAACAACTTGTTAGCTGGTTAGCTCTTTGGCTCATAGCATAAAGTTATCTATATGGTTTGTAGCATAACTTAGCTCTTGAGAGTGGTGGTTTTAGACTCCACGTCGTCCATTAAACCATTTAAGGAAACCTGGTCAGGCTAACTTAGAGCCCAAGTGGACGTGGTAGTGGGTGGTCTTGAAGTGGTCTGAACTGTGTCTGCTTTATATCTGTATTTAAATGCCAAATAATAATAATACACTTTATTTAAAGGCGCCTCTCTGGGCACTCAAGGAACACCGTACAATACATAAAAATAAAAAAAACAGTAAGAAATAAGAAACAGACAAGAAAAAGCCAATGTAGAAAGTTAAGTGGGGTATGCAGTTCTGAATAGGTGAGTTTTTAGTCTTGATTTGAAGAGGGGGAGAGAGTCCAGGTTCCTGATGTCCGGTGGGAGTGAGTTCCAGAGTTGGGGGGCAGAGCGGCTGAAAGCCCTGCTCCCCATGGTGACGAGGCGGGAGGGACAGAGAGGTGGACAGAGGAGGCAGATCTGAGGGAACGGGAAGGGGTGGCGATGTGGAGGGGTTGGGACAGATAAGGAGGGGAGAGGTTGTGGATGGCCTTGAACGTAAACAGGAGGATTTTGATGTCTATGCGGAGTTTGACCGGGAGCCAGTGGGGCCAGTAATCGATAGGGGAGGTGACAAGGCTGTGAACAAGAATGGCAGTGGAGTGGGGAGAAAGGGAGGGGCAGCAAATGCGTTGAGAGGAGCAACCACCGAGCGAGTGTTTCCTTGGTTATGTTACTCACCGTGCAACCACTTCTCCTCAACTCACATCTTCAAACAAAAGATTAACCTCTGAGTGATTGATGGTGCTTTCACTCCCTGCAGGGCTTAAAACGAGGATCCTGATCCAAAGGCTGAGGAGGAACACTGAAACACAGTCCACTTCCCTCGAGCCATAGGAGGAGGAGGAAGAGGAGGAGGAGGAATGGGAGGAGTGAGAAAGTGAAAACAGCAGAGCGAGAGAGGGGAAAGTAACAGAAGGGGAGAGAGAGGCTGAGGGAAGCTCTCTGGTCAAGGTCTGACACTAGACTCCTGCTGTTAAACCACGTGGAGTCAAACCGCAACAGCTCCTGCAGACATTGGCAGCCAGTGGCGGGAAACGTTCTGTTTCTCCGTCTTCTTCCACACTTTGGACATTTACCAGTTTTCCTTAAGCTAAAGTTTAACAGCAGGTGAACCGAAGAGAAAATGTGCTTGTGGAAACACTGAGATAAAGCTGTCGTTTCTTTAACGGAGTTTGGTTTGGGGATGTTTTTCAGATTTCAGCTGTTGGTGCAGTGGATCATCTGACTGAAGGATTTACTAAAGGAAATACATCAAGATGTCAATTTGATGTGAGCAACCCCTTTTACACCCTTTTTGGAGCCCCTTTCAAGCAATCACTAAACCATTAGAAGCTGGTGCCTTGCTCAAGGGCACCTCAGCAGTCGCTGGAGGCTGCAGACGCGCTCGCAAATCAGCTGGTCTGGGATTCAAACTGACCTCTTGCAGGATTACAGGAACATCTGCGCAAAGAGGAACTTCTAACATGGACTTTTTGTGACGGAGTTCCGAACCTCGAGGCAGTTCACCTCCCTGAAGATGTAGTAGTCCAGAGTGGGAGGGCAGAGGATATAATGTGACGCAGATGATGGTTTTGCTGTCCGTGCGATGCCAAGAGGGAGGCAAGCTCTCGCGAGTGTGTGTCTGTGTCTTGTCTGTCTGATCGTTCTGATGCCGCAGCTGGCCGCCCGACCCTGCGCTCAAGACACCATTAAAAAGGTCCAGCACCTCATCAATGTCGAAGCCCCCAAATTGGTATGAGTTTAATCTTCTGTCACTGTAAAAAAAAAAACTGTAATATTCCAGCACCAAAAAAATACAGTAAAACAGTAAAAATACAAGACTGTTCAATCAACAATCATTTAATATTTTTTGTCTTTTTAATGTTTAATTAAAGATATTTACACTGTAAAACCAGTGCAATGAGCTATAAATACAGATTTTTAGATATAGTTTTCTTAGTTTTTAGTGTTTTAAAAGTTATAGAACTGTAAGTCATTATCTGTGAAATTACAGTAATTATTGCTGTTTTCACTGATAAAAAACTGTATTTGGACAGTTTACCAATCCATAAACACTGCAAAAAAACATTTATTCAACGTTTCTGTTGTAAAAAACTTCCATAATTAAACAAAATATCTGTCAGTTAACAAACTAATCCATGTAAAAGTACACACATAAATGCTTTTTACCGTTAATGTCACTAATTTTAGATCATTTTAGAAATGAATTGAATGAGTAGTCATGTAAATACACAGGATATTTTAAAATTTGTATTAATATCTCCATCTATTTAAAAAATACAGAAAAGATCTGTAAAATAAATGGGAAAACACCGTAAATCGTCTTTTTTATTATTATTATTTTTTTACACTGTACAATATTATAAGCTCAGATTGTATCTTCAGGGTGCAGCTGCAGGTTTCACACATGATTTCAATAACTGAGGAGTCTTTTGTTAAAGAACTTCCAAAGTTTAAGATTCAACTCGAAATTATTGAGCCTTATCATTAAGGTACGCAGCAGTTATTCCACAATCATTCATAAATACGTGATTTGGGTGGAGCCATCTTTGTTATCAGCCTATAATCTTTATTGAAGTTATCTTGTATAATTAGCTGCAGGACACAGCCGGTGAGTCATTGGAGGGTTGTTAGAAGTATGTAGAGCAGAGGTCTTCAGTTCTGAAATATCTAAAGCGTGTAAAGCTGCACTTGAGGAATCTGTAGCCACGTTCCAACACGTCTTGAACTTATATAAATGTATATATGAAATAGTATTTTGGTGACCATCTTGCTAATATCTGATCAATATTATCTGTCTTTTGTTGGGACTTTACAATCAGAATCAGCTTTACTGCAGTAACGTTGCAGGCTCTTTATTGCCTATTTTCATAGATTGTCCAATTTTATAGAGATCCTCCAGTGATTTAGTGCAGTTTCGTGGAGACGGATTAAAGATAACAACAGTTGAAATCCTTCTCCATCCTCGAGTACCAACCCAGACCTATAACCGATCAAAGTATTGAGAATTATTTGATTTTGACTGGTTCCACACTCAATGGACAGAGCGTTGTTCAGATGATTACTGGATGAATATACCCAAGTCCATCGTTGGTTTGGGGGTTTTAGTTTTTTTGCTAATTCAATGTTCTGCAGTTGCACACTGAGGTATGTGTTTTCACATCTAACTGCCGTGAATTAAGGGTTTAATTCTTATAATTATAAGGTGACTCACAGAGGCTCCAACCAGGACTCTGACTCCGGGAAGGAGGATGACTTAGCAGGGCCAGGAGAGGAGTAAGGGAGGTCGGGGGCATCAGAGAGACAGCGACAGCGTAGAGCCAGAATATGTTCACTTCTAACTCTGTCAGACAGCAGAGTCAGTGATTGTTTTATTTATTATATTTTGAGAGTTTGAATGAAGTGTGTTTTTAGATTTCAATAAGGTCTCAGTTCAGTTCAATGAACCCAAATAGTAAACAGATCAATTTGTGATACGTCTGTATTAAGAATTAACAATCATGCAGACTTAATAGGCTTTTTTTTTTTTTTTTTTTTTTTTTACCAATTTATTGCTTCTCTCTGATATTTGGTCATTGTTCTATTACAGTGATCAGATCATCAGAGTTTAGATATTAAATAATAAACTGTAATGTGGTCAGTTATTTTAATTCAGAAAAATTGTTGATACAGTTTACGTCAAAATGTAAGTTACACAAACTCAATTTTGTAAGTTAAAAAACGTGTTAAGTTAAGTCAGTGTCACTACTTAAGCTACTTGATCAAGAATTCTTAGTTAGTGTTACTTAAAAGTTTCAGTTTGAACACTTTCTTAAGTTAAATTAATCTGGTTTTAGTGTAATCTAAACTTTACAGTTTTAATTTTCGTTTTCTTCACAGAAACAAATCACATTTTAAGTATATATATATTTAAGTACTTTAGCACGCCTTAAAATCAAGAAGCCCTCGCGGACCCCTGTGAATTGTTGGCGACCCCTAGTGCAAAGCTGTTAGAGCTCGTTGCACGCAGTGAACTCTCCGCTCACCTTTCACTGTTTGCTAACCCACAACCTAGCCAACATTAGATACATTACTGCTCTGTAGCATGGTTACTGAACCTTAAAGGAATCCACCTTTAACTGAACTTTATGAGTGGAATCAGTGGAACGTACCTTTAACATTTGACTTCTTTCCAGATAACAGCCGTTAATAATGGCTGTTAAGAGAAAGGCAGAGAAGGGGGCACTGACGGGGGTCCAGAGCTGCTTTATAAGAGCAGTTGTTGTACGGCTTGTGTGCGTTTCACTGTGAGCTGCTAACGTTGTCTTTGTCCACAGAAGGGGTTGAACTGCAGCCTGTACACGCCCACCGTCGACCACTACAAGGTACGAGCTTCCTCTCAGCGTTCACCCTCTTTATCCTGACAGAAGGTCCTCAGATGGTTAATGGGCTTCCTCAGTAAAACATGAATAAAAGTCCATATGGAATTAGAATCAGGGTCCTATAGAGGAAGAGGAAAAGCCAAAGGAGCAAGCACAATATTGTTAGCATTGAGCCGTGAAAATGGAAATGTTTAACTTAAACACAACCTGTCACTATATCCTTCACGTTCACAGCGTTTTTCACAGGGAAAGAAACTTAATTTTACTTAAAGGATAAGTTAAGTTTCTCTTCACGCTTCAACAGTCTGAGTCTGGTGATACTGTGCATACCCTGCTTTATGGTCTGTTTTACTCTCAGTGGGTCCATCAGTTACTAAATGAACATCATGCTGTATGGAAGATTAAAACTGTCAGTGTTTCTGGAGGAACGTTGCTTATGTAATGTGTACTGTGGTTGTTGTCTCACCTCTGTCTGTCTGTCTGTGTGTCTCTCTGCCTGTCTCTCTCCAGCAGAAATGCCCCGGGGCCACGATGAAATGTTTCGCTGGCGAAATGATCGTCCTCCTTGATGAGTGGGAGATCACAGAAGCACACCTTACAAAACTGAAAACAACCCTTACAAGGCTAGCAGAACAATTAAACACGGTAAGGAGGGAGAGAGACACAGTCATTTTGTTTAAATTACAGTATTTTCTCACATAAGAAATAAGTCAATGGAAGAGTTTGTTTACATTTGAATCAGAAACTCAACAACAATATGGTGACCTGAAAGCTTTAACATTTAGCTGTAGTTTATCATATCAGTATTGTGTATCAGTATATGTAGCTGGTACTTTGATAACACAAGCTGTATAAGAACAATGGCATCAAGTATCAGGGAGAAGAAAACACTTAGTTGATCAAAAAAGAAGCTTATTAAGTCTGTATGATTGTTAGAAATAAAATAAAAAACATAATAGAGACAGAAGATTGTATAAAAGTGCTGCTGCTTTATTCAGTGTTTCAATCAGCAGCTGTGTCTGTCTTGGTGAGGACAGTTTGGTGTTAATTCAGCTCATGAGGCAACAAACCGGCTTAACCGTGAAATTTTAGATTCTGACTCTCCCTATTTGCTGTTGTGAGACTCTCACTGTCACTTTGACAAACAGAGGAAGAGAACCAGATGAGACATTTCCTTTAAACCCAGATAAAGGACCTGTTTCTTCTTTTATACAGATGTGATCATCCAGCTGCTGTCTCACTCCCCCACAGTGTCCTAACACTGAGGACCAATCAGAGTTTTAGACGCCGAGATGGAAATGTTTTGTAAAATTAGCACATTTTGTCTGTTTTTGGGACTTTGTCTACTTATAAAATGAAGAAGCAGTAAGCAGGCCCTGAGTTTCCTTACTTAATCTATGCCCCTAAATCTTTTATAAACAGTGACATGTAAGAATGCTCTCAAGAGACTGTGTGTTTATATGTGTGAGAATCGTAGCATGAAAATACATTTTAGCAACTTCAAGTGTCTGGTATTTATAAATGAATATGCAATAGTTTAGGTTGAATTTAGCTTTTGCGACAACATGCTTAACTTTTTTTAAAAGCAGAGAGTGCACTAATGACACAGACTTTTCTTGATTGCAAGGTCCAGTATAAATGACCTCAAAATCGACTCAATGATTAATCTATATCAGCCCACTGGGAGTTAAAATATGCCAATGTCCTGTTTAAACAGCAATTTGGTACTTTCAGAATCCCCCTTAAAATCATTCCAATAGTGTCTAAGCAGTTGCTGAAATATTGTCCACATAAGTGATTATGCTTATTTATTGCTAATTATGCTAATTTGCCAACATATGCAAATTAGCATCTGGGAGTTTCTAAATGCTGGGGATCATGCCGTATATTTAATTTTTTTTTTTTTATATATATATATTTTTGGGGGCTTTTATTGCCTTTATTATAGTGACAGCTGATGATAGACAGGAAAGGGGGGCAGAGAGAGGGGATGACACGCAGCAAAGGGCCGCAGGTCGGATTCAAACCCTGGGCCGCTGCAGCAAGGACTCATGGGTCGCCAGCATCTACCCACTAGCTATCCGGGTGCCCCCCGTATATTTAATTTAATATTTATTTAACATAAAACTCAATATTTTTTGGTTCACGTTGCTGGCAAGTAGACTATCACCACACCAATGTATTTGAAGCTGGAAACTACTAGCTTCTCCCTTTAGGAGCTAGTAATTTCTGTGAAGAACATACAGACACTTTTCATTTTTCCATGTAAATATATTAGTGTATCATCTGCATAAATTCGAACATCAGCTATAAATACTAATGGGAGATTATTAATGTAAAAGCTGAAGATGAGAGGACCCAGGTTATGAAGGTTTTGGGAAACTTTTGGGCTAAGGTCAACTTTATTAACTCTGTTCCAACAGCTCTTCAGGTTTCGTTTGTGCCACCGTTGATTTGACTAACAATATATCTGTCTGTATCTGTTCCCCTCCACAGACGGAGTCAGGGTGTATCCAGTGTGAGCTCTTCGAAGTGGAAGCACCAGAAACCTTCCTCAGAAATCTTCTTAAAACTCTTCATGAGATGAACACTGTGCACTGCCCAAAAAAGACTAGATGAGACTAGATTTTGCTTTTGTCGTGGACTTTTCATATTACCAGAGCATAAATAAAGTGCATAATGCATGATGTCTGAGGATCTCAGTGGTATTTAATTCACAACTGGAGAGGTGGAAACGGAGGAGTTTCAGTGTGAAAACAAAGGGAAACAAAGCATCTGCATTTCGGTGGAGGCTTGTTCGTGCTCGAAGTCAACATGGAAGTAACAAAAACTTCAGTTCCTCTGTCAGCCACTTGAAGCTGGCTCCACGGATACTACAGCAGTCTGGTACAGGTTGTGGTATGATTGAGAAGTTAAATGCAAAAAAGGTGTGTTTTATTCATATTTTCTGGTTTTCGATGGGTGAAGAGAGACAAAAGGATGGAGGTGGTATCTGTGTGAACACATAAAAGATCCCTTGCGATCCAAATCCAGATTTGGACAGGGTGGATACAGTCTGGATGTAATAAGAACTTTTTAAGTGTGTTGAAAAACCAGTAAATCCTTCAGAAGCATCCAAATCACTTCATGAAAACTGGAGTTTAGTTCAGGTTTGGTTCCCCAAATCCCTAGGTTTTTATTACCAAACATCATTTTCCAATGAATTTCCAGGACACAAATACACTCATGCCAAAAAATTGCTGCAAAATCTTTCCATATCTTGTAAACCACGCAGGTTCTGAGAGGCGAAAAGATTCCAGAACAACATAAATTATTTCGAGAACATTCTGTCCATTGAATTTCATTTAAATAAACTTAGAAAAAGGCCACACTGAAACTTGAGTGGTTGATGTGACCTCTGCAGGTCAATTCAATTCAATTCAATTTTATTTGTATAGCGCCAATTCATAACAGAAGCTATCTCAGGACACTTTTCAAATAGAGCAGGTCTAGACCGAACTCTTTAAAACATTAATTACAGAGACCCAACAGTACCACCATGAGCAAGACCTTGGAGACAAGGGCAAGGAAACACTGCCTGTTAAAAGGCAGAAACCTAGGACAGATCCTCCGGCTCTAGGTGGGTGGTCGTCTGTCTCGACCAGTTGGGGTGAGAGAGATAGAGACAGAGAGAGAGAGAGAGAGAGAGAGAGAAAGAGGGTCAGTGTCTGTATCATCCAAAGATCATTAACTTATGTAAGAGAAAGACACTCTGTAGTGATATACAAACTCCCAGCAGAGTTGTAAACACAACCATGAGGTTATTGGATCCATTTATAATAAATACAATAGAGGGTCTGTTTTATTTAAGTTGATCTCACAGTTCATCCGGAGCAGCTCTGAACCCACGATCCTCCAAGATCCTGCACGAGCCAACATGAAAACATTTATATTTATCTCAGGATCATTCTAAAGAAACTTATGAGCCAGGAGGTCCGTCACATTACGCCTAAAACTCAGCGTTTGGTTCACTTCTGAGAAGAATTGTAAATTGTTGAAAACTTTTAAGTAAAGCTAACTAAATATTTCCCCTAACCTTAACTCAACTGTCGGAAATTAAGTTGCACAAACACAATTTTGTAAGCTAAAACACATTCTTGATGAAAAACTTTTTACCAGTTTATTTTTAATAATACAAATTAAAATTAAAGCTGCAAGCAGCGTTGGGCGGGACCTCGCACTCCACGCTACTCTCACGTAAATCAGCTCAAAATCGTCACGCAGCGCTTACTTCCTGTTGCCAGTAGGTGCCGCTATCACTATGTCTGAATGTTGTCATGTAGACGTCGTGTTCAAGACGGGATTGTTATCAAACCCGTGACGTTTCGTTGAGATTGGACCACGCACGCTGAAGTTATGAGGATGTGTTCAGGGTGAGACTGTTACAGAATATATGAAGTTTATTAGAGATTGGACATTGCACACTGAAGTTATGAGTTCTGTTTTATGGCGAATCTGCTGAATTCTACAAGTTGTCACTGGCACACGGTTTGACGTACAGTCACAAATAGCTCGACTTTTTATTACGGTCTCCGCACAGTGATTTACCATGCCACCAGAGCACCACCCAGTGGCAGATTGTTAGCACATTTTTTAGCGAGCCTCAGGGAGCCATGGGGAAGCATCGTACCAAGTTTTGTTTTAATCACACCTGCTGATGTGGAGATATAAACTTCTTCATTTTAAAGAGCGCCACCTTGTGGTGATGGCCTGAAATTGTGCACGATGCCTAAGGAAGACATGTGGAACTATGGACCCAAGTTTGGTGGCAATTGGACATACCAATGTGGAGAAATGGTCCACTTCCTGTTTTTACCAAAATCTATTGGAAGCTAATTTTATAACGAGTATCGAAATTCTTTGAATCACTTTTTTTCCAGGACAGTCCCCAGATGCTACGTGAAAAGTTTCGTGTGAATCGGACAAAGTGCATAGGTAGTTTATGGACAATTTGGGCTCTAGCAAAAAAAAAAAATCCAGGTGAAAATGGGTATGGTCTATATGGGGAGATTCAGCTCCATTCACCGAACACGTTGATATAAGGTTTTTGAATGTGCGACAAAAGATGCGGAAGTTATTAGCCTAAATGCAATTTCTTGACAATAGCGCCACCTAGTGGCTGATCCAAAAGCGACGCATAGAATATAAAATTTTTCACCAGCCCTGACAACTTGAGTATTCGCATATGTTCAGGGGGGCAAAAATGCAGTCGAAGTGGCCTAAAAAGAATAAGAAACATAGGAAATACAATAGGGACCTGCACGATCGCTGGCTTGGTCCCTAAAAATACAAAATGAACTCAGTGTCACTTCAAATCACAAAAGCTGCTTGATCAAGAATGTTTTTTAATTTACACAAATTGTGTTAGTTTTACTTCAAATTTTCAATTTCTGAGTTAAATCAACTTTACAAATGCTGAGATACAGGCCTACTGTGTGTATGTTTAAAAATCAAGAAGACCTTGAGTCCCCCCAGGAAGCTTTTGCGACCCTTTGTAGGGCTCCCGCACCCCTGGTTGGGAACCACTGGTCTGGGCCTAATAATCAGGGATTGCAGGAATCCAACCCACAATAACAGCTTCTGCGTCTTACTGTTACAATTTTGTTTAATGTCATCAACTAGAGTTACGATATCATTAGATAGCGAGTTATGGAGGTAGTTAGGGTGAGTTTAACATCAGATAATTGCAGGTCATACAGGTCTGTGTTTGTGTGTGTGTGTGTGTGTGTGTGTGTGTGCAGATGGAACTTATTCAAACCTTCTCACGCTCATGATGTGATAATCATAGATGCTCGTGCTAACTCTTGGCAGTGTGAATCTCCCCGAGGGGAATCTCCAACTAGTGCAATTTGACATGAAGTGTCTCTGTGTAGCTGCTGTAGCCCTGACATGTCGTAAAATTTTTGAGGAAGCTTCAGTAAACGCCATAAACGCACAGCAACCTATGCCAGAGCTGTGGTTTTTTGTTTGTTTGTTTGTTTTGCCAGAGCTGTGGTTTTTTGTTTGTTTGTTTGTTTTGCCAGAGCTGTGACTCGAGTTGCAGAGCAGAATCTTACACAAACACAGCCTGACGCACAGCCACCAGAGGATGGCCTCTTGCCAACATTCACTTGGGAATAATTGAAAACACTTTTCACATTATATATATTGAATAGATGTGCTGTAAAGCTGGAGAGCTGCACCATTCCCACACCTCTGCAGACTCAGTAAGAGAACTATTAAAGTGTCACTGGACCGTTACAGGGTCAGTCAGGCAGAAAGTTTTGATCCGTGTCTGATAATCTCCTGATTTGTTGTCATTGACTCATCTTACCAAGAAAGACATATTTTGGCTTCATTTTTAGTGGGAAGAAGTTGAGTCACACCGTCCATCTTCTACATGTTGATGGATTTTACACTAAACTATGAACATTATATTCCATTTAATTGATTTTATTTAGACATTAAAATACAGCTTTAGCTGTAACAGTAAATAAAGCCATTATGCGGTCATTATAACAAGTAAAGGGAATCAAGGGCAGTTGTATAAAGATGCGTCTTATAAAGGTGGCAGCAGTGAAGTGATTTTCATTATCAACGGAGAGGTGCAAGTTCCAACTCCTGTGCACTGCCAAGGCACCCAACCCCTAACTGCTCCCTGGGCAACTATGGCTATATAGGACTGGTCACATGCAGAAGACACATTTCGTTTCATGTATGTAAAATGCTGTAAATGCTGTGAAATGACAATAAAGAATATATATATTTGCACTAAATATGATATATTACATTAAATCTGTATTTGTTATTGTTTCATGTGTAAAAATCTGAAATAGATGAGTAAGTAAGAAATTACAATAGTTATATACCTTGTCAAGTACCATGTCCTGTTTAGCTCTAACTGCACTTACTGTGGTTTGGTTTTGTAGTTAATGCAATTTTTACATAGTTTTTACAACAGATATATGAGATCTATAACTTTGTCATGATTCTGCTGAATATTAATTTTCTCTCATTGTAAAAAGCAGTAAATTATATATTTTAATTAGCTGCTACTGGTAATCAGAAGAATAAGGATATTCTGTAAATATTTATATAAATATATGAAATTGTGGTGTAGGTCAAATAGGAAAATACTCCTATAGAAGTAATAAACAGTAAAAACTAAAACAATAATTACATCAGTGTTTCATTTTATTTTTAACATGTTAATCTTCACAAATGCTGAACAAGGTGTTTTGCAGTATGTTAAAGATAAGCAATTGGTCAACTTTATACAAAAAGCAATAAGTGCTTTTAATGTCTTTCAGTTCATTTTACTTGTTCATTGGGAAAAATCCAGTCTGTCTTGGGCTTGCACAAGTGGATTGAAATCTGGCTGAATGTCTGAGGTGGATATGTGAAGAACAGCTGAGAGGTGATCATCAATGATGGAGGATCTGTATCTGGATTTGTTGAACTTCATCACTGAGAATGTCTGTTCACATACGTAGGTGGATCCAAAGAGGACTAGAATCTTCTGAGCATGCCTCCTCATGTGTGGAAAGTTCTCTTCTTTGAGGGAAGCGTAAAACTCAAGCAGTGGGTACATTATCCACGCTGCAGGTGAAGGGAAAAGAAACCATGTGCATTTCACTCTCAACTGTTTTAAAGTGTTGGCATCACCCTGAA